TCTTGGTTTTTTACCTGATAATCTCTGTCTTTTGATTTCTGTACATAGATCATTCACATTTAAAGTGGTTATTGATATACTTGGACTGATACCACTCATATGTATAACTGATTTGCCCGAGACTTCTTTTTCTCATTTCTGTGTTTGTGGTTGAACTTTCTCTTTCTCTCTCTGGTGTATCAAAGCATTTGTTTTAAAATGTTTTCAGTTGTTGCCCTATAGTTTACTATGTACATTTTTAACTAGTCTTTGAATCCACCCTCAAATGACAGTTTTTAGTGAAATACACGTAACATAAACTATTTCAAAGTGCAGTTGGGTCGCATTTAGTACATTTTGCAAATTATGCAGCCACTACCTCTATCTAATTCTAAAACATTTTCATCACCCCAAAGCTATTATGCAGTTTCTCCCTATTCTCCCTTCTCCTGATCCCTAGCAACCACCAATCTGTAATTTGTCTCTGTGGATTTATTACTTTGTAGAATTTCACATAAATGGAAACATACACTGTATGATTTTAGTTATCTTGGGGGTGGGCCCTAGGGTCATGTGCCTTGTGACCACTGAAAGGTACTTTCAGAAGCAGGTAAACAGTGACGGACTGGGGCCCTGAGAGTAAAGGTGAGGAGGAATAGGGGTAAGCTGGGGAGAGGCAGCTCAGGCCCCATGACTCAGCTCTGCAGGGCCCTCAGGCACCCTGGGTGCTGGGCAAAGTCCAGCCTCCCACCCTTCCTGAGCCTGTGTGTGGTCTGCTCCTCAGCACAATATATTTTGTCTTCCATGAACCCTTCTGCCTCCCACACACCACCTCTTCTCATTAACATCTCACATCCTCCTGGTCTGTACCCCCAGACCAACTTCAGGTCCCCAGAATTCTGTCCACAAGTGGCCTCAACCAAATCCCCTGACTGTGGGCTTTTCTCTGAAATGGGTCAACACTTGCCTTCCTGGTGTCCTGTGCTGTCAGAAGGCTGCTGGTCATGACCCTCAGCCTTGCATCTAGTGTGATGCTAGCCCCACACTGCACTGGGCCATACTGGGTTGCCACCTAATGCCCCCACATGGAGATCCATCAGCAGTGTCTCCCTGCCACCCCACCCCTAGCACCACCTTCCAATTGTTCCTACACCCACTTCCCTGTCCTTTTGACCCTTCCTCAAAATTCTGTCCAGAAACTGGCACCTTCTCCTAACTAAAACACTCCTGCTTTGGGGGTGATGGCTCTAGCCTCCTCCAATAGCCCCATCACCCTCATCCCAGCCAGTGCACACTGAGCATGTAGTGTACAGGACACACTGAAGAACTCAGCCCTGCCCTCTTGGGGGAGCCATTCCAGAGGGAGGAGAAAGAGAAACACACATTTTGATGATAGATGAGCAAAGGACAGGGCAGGTTGCAGTTAAAGAGGTAAGGGGGTTGCTGGGATCTCCCCACTCTCTGTTCTCAGTGCAGCTGCTAACAATCATGAAGAACATAGGGTCAAGAGCTCTGACTTTCATAGTTATCAGTCTTCAGCCTCTCCACTCTCCCCTCTACCCTGTCCTGACAGCTGCAAGAATACTGCTCCCCAGGAATGTGTTTCTGTCTGCTTGGTCCCTACTGTATCCTCAGGGCCGGCCCAGCAGACCTACATAGACATATGATTTGAATCCTGGTCAGTGCTACTGGCTCATGGAACCTTGGCCAGGACACTCTCTTTGACCAGACTTCTAGCAGGCTACCCTGAGGCCTCTGCAAGACTAGGCCTGGCCTTGGCCCCATCCCATCCTTGTTGGACCTGCTCACTGCATGACTCTGGTTTCTGACTTTTTCATTTAGCACAATGTTTTGGAGGGTGTGTCCAGTTTTGGCTATGCAATATGGACCACATCTTGTTTAGCCTTGCAGTGTACCAAGTACTGTCACACAACAATACCATTTTACTTCCTACTCATCCTTTTTTACAGATCTATAAAAGCCAGGGACTTAAGAGCTATGTAGCTGGTTCAGGTCAGCACAGCTAGGCAGTAGCAGAATAAGTATTCCATAGCTGCAGAACAGATCTCAAGATCACACATTGGTGTTTATGGGATAAGGCAGCAGTGAAGGCGGTGGATGAACTAGAGAGCTCATGACCCATCTAGGAGAATGCTGTGCCCAACTCCAGACAGCTGGTGCCATGGGCAACTTGAGCCCAGGATGGCCAGAGCTTCCAGTTTGTCAAGAAAACTATAAATCTGATTTTTATGGGAAATACTCAATTTTTAGATGGTAACAACCAATTCTTTTACATTTTTTAAAACTTTGAGAATCAAGCAAAAGTTACCTAGTGCCTATGAGACATCACTGGCAGGCTCTTCTTTACAGCAGAAATGGTGAGCTGGCTGCTATAGAGTAGGTAACGTGGAGGAAGAGTAGGGTGTCGGTCACTCCTAGGTCCTTTGAGGAAAGAACTGGAGAGGGCCATGACTTGTTAGAATACAGTCAGCTCTGCTATTTATATGACATTATGTGTTCCTAAAAATTTCACACAGTATACAAAAATTGTACAGTGAAAGCCTTAAGACTTAAGGGGGGAAATAGGGCTAGTGGCACAACATTCATAAGCTTTGTCAATGACATATTAGAAAAAACAAGTAATGACTCTTAATAAGAACTACAGGTGGTTTAATATACAGTGACTACAATAAATACAGCACTTTATCTTGAAAGGGCCTGCAGTTCATTGTGGAGGAAGTGTGGGGTGGTGGGCATCTCAGGAGTGACTGAACCAGGGGCAGAGGGTGAGCTGCAGTCAGGGTTAAGAAATGGCACTGGGAGGTTGGGTGCAACTTGGGCCAAGCTCAGGGTCATGTTCAATATTACCTAGGGCTTCTCACAGAAGAAATGATTCAGACAAGCATTAAGGTTTGTTATGCTCAAATTGTTCACCAGTCTGTCAGTCAAGTTGGGACAGATTCACCTTTTCAGAACAAGTATTCTAGTATCTCTTCTGACTGGGTAAAAAATCACACAGAAAACAGGACATCCCTTCTTCCATTCCTCCCCACCTCCAGCTTGTTGTTTGTAGGTAGAGAGTGTATGAATATTTTTTCCAAGTAAAGAAAGTCTAGTTTGCCTCTTGGGTTCATTTCCCCTAGGACTGCCATAACAAGTTACCACAAACTTAGTAACTTCAAACAACAGATTTATATTCTGTCACAGTTTAGGACACCAAATGTCCGAAATCGAGGTTCTGCAGGGCTAGGCTCTCTTATCAGGGTTCTTGGATAGCACCCTTCCCAGCAATCTCAGGGCTATGAGGGCCTCCCAAGGGCCATCTATGTAAGGCAGGAATCCCGTCTAGTGAATCCTTGCATTTTTTCCTGCTGTTCTTTCTGGTCTTCTGCATTCTATGCCCTCTGCACATTTGGCCATCTCTCTCTCTCTCTCTCTCTCTCTCTCTCTCTCTCTTTCTCTATCTCAACGTGCGCACATACATACACACACCTTTATTGGCTGAGTAGGCAACTTTAGAGGGTCAAGTAAGAGGAGCGAGTTGCCCTGATGATTGGCAGCTTCCAGATACACTTTTGTCACATATCTGCACAGCTTTCTCTCTGGCCCCACTGGTCTTTGCTCAGTGGCACTCCCTCAGAGAAGTCTTCCCTACTGAGCTCACTCCCCTGCCTCCTTCCCAGTGTCAAGCTCTGCTTGTTTATTCTGCTTTGTGGTTCTCCATGGCAGTTAGCACTGACTGACAGTCTAATACTGGTGTTCATGGTCTGTTTTCCCTATAGAAGTTTAGCTCTGTGAAGGTGAGAACTGTGTTTTCCTCTGTCCTTGTCTCTAGAACATTGCTTGATTACATAATAGGCCCTGAGTAAACATTTGTTAAGTGGTGGAATATTTTCTTGCTTATGTCATTAATTTTGAACCAACATTGTCTGGTTTTCCATATTAGACAGCTGCCAAAGCTCTTGTGTTAGACTGTGTGAGTTTGTTGTCTGAACCTTGGAGTTCCATTTCAGTCTGTCCAGAGGTGGTAAGAATGCCATACCTGCCCATAAATGTGCTGTAGTTCAGCTAGAGACATAGCACATCCTCCCCTGCCCAGGTTCTAACCTGGTTCTAAAGCAGCCTCAAGACTACAGTTTGCAGTGAAGCCCTGCTGTGTCCAGAGGGAGAGGGATCCAGGGCTCCACACTGTGGGCATCTGGCCTAGAAGAGAGGCAGGACAGGCTAGAAAAGCACCAGAGAACTTAAGGAACAAGAATAAGAGGTCACTTTCATCATAGCAACTGTTCTTATCACAAGGGATGTAGTAAGACAAGGGCTCTGGGAAGAGGCAGGCTCTATCAGTTGGGGCCCAGGGGAAGCAGAGCCAGGACATCTCCCAAGTCAGCACATCTCATGTCCTGTATTTTCTTCCCTCCATGTGCCAGCCTGTGCTGTGCTGGCCCTTGCTCACAGCAGTGAGGCAGATGTAGCCTCTTATCTTTAGAGACCTGAGAGAGGAAATAGATGAGTTGGATGAGTGATCAGTGAATGGTGAGTCAAGTGTTTGTCATTAAGGGACTCCCTGTGTTCTCTTGCCCCAAGACAAGATTATATATAGGAGCTTCCCTTCAGAAATAGAACTTCTTTAAAACAACCACTCCCAGGTTTTGGATTTTGTGGATGGGTAGCACTTCCAAAGAGTTAGGGTTACCTACAGTTTTGATTATGTCAGGACAGGAACTTTCTTTAAAAAGTTAATTTGTCACCCATTATTTATTATTGCCTTCACTTCATAAAAGAAAGGATTTTAACACTAAAACTTATAAAGATCTTAGAATAAAACTAATTTTATGAAAATTCCCATCTGAAAAGCTCAGTGTTGTGTTTTGTTTCCTTCACTTCATCATGGACTGATGAAAAACGTGTTGGACAGCATTAGCTCAAGGGCTGGCATTTGGCAGTCACTACTTTTCGCCACCTGCAAGTGTGTGGGTCTTACAGTGCTCCATGAGTAGCCTCCTCCATGTTGTATCTTACAGATCGTGACAGACCAGCAGACGGGACAAAAGATTCAGATAGTCACCGCAGTGGACGCCTCCGGATCCTCCAAACAGCAGTTCATCCTGACCAGCCCAGATGGAGCTGGAGCTGGGAAGGTGATCCTGGCTTCCCCGGAGACATCCAGTGCCAAGCAGCTCATATTCACCACCTCGGACAACCTTGTCCCTGGCAGGATCCAGGTAAGGCCTGCTCACAGAGCTTGTCTCAGCACTTCCTAACTTATTTTTTAACCCTTGCCTTAGAGGTCAAGTCCATCCCTAGAAAGTCCTTTGGGGACTTGCAAATGTGGTACATTGCTGCTTTGACTAAAGTAAACCAACAAATGAGTGGCCAGACCCAGAGGACAGTCAACAGGGACCATTTAGAAGGGAAAGAAGAGCCAGGCACCAGTGGTTCATGCCTGTAATCCTAGCTTCTTAGGAGGCTGAGATGGGGAGAATCACAGTTCAAGGCCAGTCCAGGCAACTAGTTTGAAGAGTCCCGCATCTCCAAAACAACCAGAGCAAAATGGACTGGAGATGTGACTCAAGTGGTAGCGTGCCTGCTTTGAAAGCCTGAAGCCCTGAGTTCAAACCCCTGTTCCACCACAAAAAATGGGCTGGCGGGGGGGGGGAATGGAAGCTGAGGCAGGAAAAGCAGCCCACAGGGGATGGACATATGCAAGGTGACACTGAGCCACAAGAAAATTGTTCTTAACTAAGGCCATGCACTGGCAGCCCTTACTTAGCCCATGATGTTTTAAAGGCGCCATATTTGGGGCTGGCCACAGCCAGACAAGAGCTCCTAGCTCTTCCTAAACCTGGTCCTGACTCTCGTTGTGATGTTACTCACATGAACTGCTGGTTCTGGCATTCTGTTCCTTTCTCCATCTCTGACTTGCGTTTCCCTTCTCTGAGAAGGCAGGTGGGGTTAGGGCTGAGTGCAGGAAGAAGAACAGGTACTGAAGGAAAGCAGATTGTTGCTCAGCGTGAAGTTGGGAAGCAGTAAACTTCTCGACCCACCACTCAGAGGACAGAGACCTAGCCAGTGTCCCATGGGATACATAGAATCCCTGTTAGAATATTTGTTTTTTATTTTAAAAATTTGTCATAAGTTGTGCATACTATAAAATTTACTGTCTTAACCATTTTTAGAGGTTTGGTGGTATTAATAATCAGAGTCACAGTGTTGTACCAACAACTATATCTGAAACTCATTTCATCTTCCCAGACTGAAACTGTCCCTTGGGAATCACACACACACACACACACACACACACACACACACACACACACACACACACAACACACACACACACAACACACAACACACACACACAACACACACACACACAACACACACACACACAGATATGCTGTACAATGAAGATATTTAAGAAGTTAACCTTCAAACAGTGTCTCCCCGTTTCTTCTCCCTCCAGCCTCTGGCAACCATCATTCTACTTTTTTTTTTCTTTGTGGGACTGGGGGTTGAACACAGGGCTTCACACTTAAAAAGCATGCACTCTGTCACTTGAACTACAACTCCAGTCCATTTTGCTCTGGTTATTTTGGAGATGGGGTTTGTGAACTATTTGCTAGGGCTGGCCTCGAATCACAATCCTCTTGATCTCAGCCTCCCAAATAGGTAGGATTTCAGGCCTGAGCCACTGGTACCCTGCTTCCGTTCCACTTGGTGTCTGTGTGAGCTTGATGACTCTAGGCACCTGCCTCATAGAAATGGAATCATACAGTATTTGTCTTTTGTGACTGGCTTATTTCACTTAACAGTGTCTTCAAGGTTCATGTAGCAGGTAGCAGGATTTTCTTCCTTTTCAAGGCTGAATAGTAATAGTTCATTATATAAATATACCACATTTAAAGTCAGGGTCTCACTATATGGCCCAGGCTGACCTCCTGTCTCAGTCTCCCAAGTGCTGAGATTATATAGGTGCACCACCATGCCAGACTTTTGTTTATCTTTTCATCTATTGTGGACAGTTGGATCACTTCCACTCTTTGGCTGCTGCAAATAGTGCTTCTAGGAGCACATGTGTTAGCTGAGTGTGCCTATAATCCTAGTACTTAAGAGGCTGAGAGTGGGAGGATCCCAGTTTTAAGCCACCTCTGGCAAAAAAAAGTTTGTAAGACCCCATTTCAATGAAAAAAGAAAAAAAAACCTGGATATGGTGATGCACTTCTGTCATCCCAGCAACAGTAGGAGGTGTAAAATAGGATTGTAATCCAGGCTTGCCTGGGCAAAAAGCAAGACCCTATCCTAAATAACCAGTGTTGGAGCCATGGTTCAAGTGATAGAGCACCTGATTAGCCAGCACAAAGCCCTGAGTTCAAACTCCAGTACTGAAAAAAAAACCAAGCAAACAAAAACATGTGTTTTCATGCCTTTAATCCCAACTACTTAGAAAGCAAGACAAGAGGATCAGAGTTTAAGGCCAGCCAGAGCAAATTAGCAAGATCTTATCTCAGAAATTTAAAAAAGGGTTGGTGGTGTACCTGGCATGTGCAGGTTTCTGGGTTCAGCTACCGGTCACACACACACACACAAAATGCATGTGTTTTGGAGGGAACTTTCCACTGTGGAGAAACTTCAGGAAGGAAAGAATGTTTTTCCTGATGAACAGGTAAGTATAGCCTCATCCTTCTCTCATAGTGCAGTCTGCCCTCAGATCAGCAGTCCTGCTTATTGACAGCACTCCTGGCTTGCAAAAGTCAGGCTGCTGGGATCGCATTTCCCAGGTGATTCTATGTGATCTCTGTATATGGTCCCACCACACATAAATCGTTTGAACAGGCTTATCATGTGCTCAAATAAAATGCATCTTTAAAATATAGCTGTTTTTTACTTCCTCATATTAATATCAGTTATATATTCTCCTAGATAGGTAACACTGTTTCTCATCTAGAAAGTCACCTACGAGTGAGGGGAAATACCAGTCACAAATATACCCCTTTGCTTACTTTTAAATTGTTCATGGGACTAGAGCGGCAGCTGAAAGAACCTTATGTCTCTTCATTTCAGAGCATTGTGGTTCCCCCATGACCTCAGTCTTGGTGATGGCTGCTAAATAATACAGTAGGTTGGTGAAGGCCCCACAGAAGGTCACAGTCCAGCAGAGCAACAGGGCCATCTGGGTGTCAGTGAAGTTACCAGCTAGAATTTTCCCAGTTCTTCTAAGCTCTTCTGTTTAGAAACCTGAGACAGAATTTACAGTGAAACTGACTTTGCTGAGCAAGCTGGTTTTGAATCAGTACTGTCTGTTGATTTCTCATAGATCGTCACGGATTCTGCTTCTGTGGAACGTTTGCTGGGGAAGGCAGACGTTCAGAGGCCCCAGGTGGTGGAGTACTGTGTGGTCTGTGGTGACAAAGCCTCTGGTATGTGACCCCAGCTTCTCCTGGTGCATGTCATGGCAGTGGTGACATGAGAGAGAACATTTTCTGTAGGTTTGTAGGTTTGAAACATGACAGTTTTCTTATTGGGTAGTGATACAGCAAAGTAGCTTGTCAGATTATTAGAATCAATGGGAAAAGGAAAGAAACGATTTCTGTGATTTGTAAATCTTGGTTGAATGTCTAGTAATACTTAAGTGCTACCAAGAAAGAGACTATTTTGTTTAGTCTAGTTCACACCAACACAGAGCTTTGCTATCTCCTCAGGTGCATTGTGTGCATGATCCCCTCAAATGACCTGCCTCTGCCTCCCCTCACTGTACCCCAGTGTAATAAAGTGCTATGATGGAGGAGCAGGAAGCATGTGACTCTGACCCCCAGAGGTGGTCCCACTTTGGTGGCTGGACATGTAAATGTTAAAATGAAGTGAGAGAAGGGCTGTCTGAGTAGTGGAGCCTGGGCCCAGGAATTTAGTCCACACACAAGTACCCTTCCCAGAGAACTTATAGACTGCCATGGTGAAGGTGTGGTGAGGGAGACTGGAGAAGATAACTGGCCTGCTGGCACTGGGGGGCCACAGAATGTGAGGGAAGTTATCAATGGGATGGAGCAGCGTGTTGCAGCGATGCCTGGCACAGGGCTGAGTTCTGCGGCATTTTATCTGTAGTAACAAAATTCATAGAGACTTCGGAGATTTTGTTGTCCTGGGTTTTGGTTGGTTTTGTTCTTTAGAAAAGGAGATTGGACCAAGCTCTTTAGGAAGACAGCCCCAGGTGAGCCTCTCCAAAAGGCCAGAAGCTCCACTTCCCTCCAGGCTGCCAATGATGCTAACTCTGCACCCGCCCTTGGTGTGTAAACCCAACCTGGCCAGCCAGAAGGCAAGAGGGCAGCACTGCCCCTGATCCTGCCTGCCTTTTGTGCAGACCTCTTGGCATCTATTGTATTCTCTTCCCACTACTCCCCTGCCATCCTGTGTTCCCCACCAGGGCCTTAGCCATCTCTGTAGCCCCATCTTCTTGCTCAGCAAGGAGAAGCACTCTGCAAACTCTTGAACAAGTCAGCAAAGCAGGAATGTAAAAAAAGGCCACAGAATCTGCCTGGCTTCCAGTGCCATTGTCTGTAGATTATTAGAAGTCGCTCTGAGAGATAGAGAGCTGAAGGAGATGCCCTGCAAGAAAGGAAAGGTGTGTTGAGGCACACCTGTGCTTACAGAATGGTTGAGATCCTCCAAGTGCACCCTTGAAAAATGATCCCATGTCCTAGAGCTCACAACCATGGGATCTTTTGTAGACACAGAAAATAATGATCCTGTGAAATGTGTCTTTCCAGCAGAGCAACTGTGGCCTTGGGTTACATAAGCATTCTGTGGTCAGTCCCAGCTGGAAACATAAGTGTAATGTGTGAAAGTGCTTTGTGAACTAGGAAGGGTTAACCAAGGTAGGGAAATGTTTTATTATCGTTGGTTGGAGACACTGAAGTAAGCATAATTAGAAAAATGACCTTGTTTCCTAAACATAATCCTTGAACTGTGTTCCTAGAAGGGTCTGGGTAGCCAACTTGGGTGAGCCATGGACTAATCTTCCTTTGCCTTGTACCCCCAGTCACTATTCCACTTCCCCTAAGGAAACCCAGGGACCCAGGAGGTGACTCAGGAGGCAGGAATGCAGGAGTGTACCCCAGGGCTAAAACAGCACCTGTGTGAGTCTGCTCCTCGGTCCTGAAGGACAGGGCGCTGAGCACCTTCCCCCATGTGCACATGGGGATAGTGATGCATCATCGTCTGAGCACCTACGGTGGGTTAGGTCTTGTGTATGCTGAGAGCATTTAGGGCTTGCCATTGGCCAGCTGTCACGTGGGCTTCAGTTTTTCCATCCTGACCTCAAGGGCTACTGTAGAGATGATAGAGAAATTCAGTGGTGGACATGGTCATTAGGCTCAGTACCCAGCTGCCGTTATCCCAAGAGTCAGCATCTGACTGTGGAAGCCCCCATTACCTTGGGAGACTTACTTTCAAAATGGCCTGAGGCAGATCACCTGCTTCATGCTCTCTGCTCCCTCCAGGCCGTCACTATGGGGCTGTCAGTTGTGAAGGTTGCAAAGGTTTCTTCAAACGGAGCGTGAGGAAAAATCTGACCTACAGCTGCCGGAGCAACCAAGACTGCATCATCAACAAACACCACCGGAACCGCTGTCAGTTTTGCCGGCTAAAAAAGTGCTTAGAGATGGGCATGAAAATGGAATGTGAGTAACAGTATCACACCACTGTGTGGGAGGAAAAAGGGAGCAGGAGGTGTTGAATGAAGGTTTCTGTATTAGGCTTTAAAATACTTTAGGAAAAATTACCCACACAGGTTGCCTGTTAATTTACCTTCTGGGTCAGCCAGGTGATTCTGAGCTGACACTACCAGGCTTGGTCAGTTCCCATCGTGTGTATGAAAGCCTTCTTCCAGAGAAGCCCCCTTCCAGGTGGACTGGGAAGTAGAACAGGGTAGGGTGAACACAGACTTCAGAGTATAGCTGAGAAGTGCTAGGAAACTCTGGAAACACGGGCCTCTCTCAGCCCTTGGAGCGTAGTTTGTGACCCAGAACCTCTCCCTACCTTGTTGACATACTGCTCCTGAATGAGGAGCACTGCTCCTGCTTTCCTGGTGCCTTTGTTTTCCTTCATGGCCTAGCCATCTGCCAAGCCTTTGTGCAGCTGCGGCTCTGAGAGTTGCTGGAGCCCTTGGGTATGGGGCAGCCAGGGAAGGTTTGAAGCGAAGCCTTTCAGCTCCTAGAGCCAGACTCCTAGGGACAGGAATGCCAAAACCATTTCCTCATTCACAGAGACCGTTCTGTGTGGGATAAGTTCTCTTCATAGTAGTGAAAACATGGAGACCAGTTCCAAGATGGGCAACAGAGAAACGGAGGGAAGGGTAGACTGTCAGGCCATGGCAGAGGATTGAAGGCCAGCTAAAGCAGAGCCTGCCCTGTACCTGGCAAGGCTGGCTCTCTCAGGACTGCAGGCCGCTGAGGGGGCTGCATGGTCCCTAGGAAGGCTGAAAACCGATGATCTTCAATATTGGTGTTTCCATTTCTGGGAATGGGAAATCGCAAGGTTTTCTGGGGAGCTAACAGAGAGTGTTCTTTGAGAAATCTCAGGATTATAACCTGATATGTACCTTATTGTGATGTTTTTATTTTATCCAGTACACTGCTTTTCCCCCAAAGTGAACAGATACATCACCAGTTTGGTGCAGGACTGGCCCACATTGCCAAGCTGTGCTTTCTCAGTAAGGAATTTTTTACTCATAGGAGCAAAAAAAGTAGTTTTCAGAATCACAGGTAGAACTGCAAATTCAAGATCCAACTGGATTTCAGTTTGGTTAGTAGGATATCTGAATCCAAGTGCCTGGGCTTCATGTCCTCTTCCTTAAAAAAAAAAAAAATCTTCATTTTCTTCAGCTTTAGCATGTATAGTGTATACTTGTTCCTATACTTAGGCTGCCAAATGGAGAAATTGCTAGTGTGGTTTAAGATTGATGCCCATCAGCCAAAGCTACTCAGGCTGGAATTGGAAATAGAGTGGTCTCTCTGTCATTTGTGGTATGTGATCATCTCGGTGACGAGCCCTCTAAAGACGAGCATTTCTTATTCTGGACAGAGTCCGTTTTGTCGGTAGCAAGACTGGACAACCCAGAGGGCTCCTCTCTGCCTCATGCCAGAGCTCTGTGGCAGACTTGAAACAGGCAGCACCTGCCATCTTGAGCTCCTCTATGTGCCTTCAGGGTTGACATGGCACTGTTTGGCTTTGAAGCCAGCTCTCCTGTACTGGAAAGTCCACTGTGGTAACTGAGCAGACAGGCAACTTGAGCACCAAAACTGACTGTGGTCAGTGATGGGTTTGCTAAGGGAGATCCCTTACTTTACTGTGATCTGAATCTCTTCTCTAAATATGATTCAAGCTGTACAGAGTGAGCGGAAGCCTTTTGATGTGCAACGGGAGAAGCCAAGTAATTGTGCTGCTTCAACTGAAAAAATCTATATCCGGAAGGACCTGCGAAGTCCTCTGATAGCCACCCCCACATTTGTGGCAGATAAAGATGGAGCAAGGTCAGTCCCTGTCTCATAAAGGGCAGCACTGAGATCTGCCAGACGAAGCATGGGTGTCCTTGGAAGGGTATGAACATGGTTCCTGCCCACCTGCCACAGCCCTGTGTGCCTCACTGTGCCGTGGAGCTGCTCAGCCTCAACACTGAGCCTGTTTAGGTTCTCTGCTTTGGTCCTGCAGGTTAGGCTTCACTCACACAACAAAAGAATTGTCTATAACTCATGACTTGGGCTTTTCTGCAGCCTAAACAAAAAGCCTAAGGTGAGACACGATCCCAGACAATGCCACCAGTGATTTAATTCGTGCCTTCTTTTTAACATAATTACTCAACTTATTTCAAAAGGAACAGAAAGAAGGAAAACCAGAAATCCAAATATGTCACACAGAGAACTGAAGTTGAGGGTGTTGTAATGATTTTCTGAAGATCAAGTTAACTTTTGGGGCAAAATGGCCACAGGCAGTGTGGAAACCCTGGGGTGTGCATCTGTTCCTTCCTGTACCAAACTGTAGACCAACTTTGTGCATGTCTCATTTCGGAAGGCAGTCACTTGCCCTGTGACCAGCCCTTAGAGCTTTTGTCCTAGCAGACAGCTTTGCAGATGTAGAAGGGAGAGGACAGGTAAATGCAGTATGACCATATTGTGCATACAATGTTGGAAGCTACTCTGGGTTTCTTTATGTCTTAAATAGACAAACAGGTCTTCTTGATCCAGGGATGCTTGTGAACATCCAGCAGCCTTTGATACGTGAGGATGGTACGGTTCTCCTGGCCACGGATTCCAAGGTGATGTTCTCTCTTCCTTTCCCCTCTTCCTTTGTGTGGCAGTGCAGGCTGTTTTCTAAGTGCACTGGCCTTCCGCAGCTCAGTTTGCATCTTGTAATTGTAGCCATCCTGGGGTTTGTTCTAGGGACGCTGATAGCATTTCAGAAACAGCTGGCTGGTCACAGTGATTATAACATGGCAATTTGGTGGACATTCTGCAGTTCCTATCTCTGTTAGGATTTTTTTGTCACACCTGTAACCTTTGCTGCTTGGGAGGCTGAGGTCAGGAGGATTGCAGTTTGAGGCCAACTTGGATGAGATCCCATCTCCAAAATAACCAGAGCAACTGACACTAATGGCTCATGCCTGTAATCCTAGCTACTTGGGAGATAGAGATCAGGAGGATTGTGGTTCAAGTCCAAACCTGGGAGTGGGGAGGGATAAAAAAAATGACACCTTATCTCAGAAATAGCCAACACAAAAGGGGCTGGTGGAGTAGCTCAAGTGGTAGAGCGAGCACCTGCCTACCAAACATGAGACCTTAAGTTCAAATCCTCCTACTGCCAAAATAAAAAAATTTCCCCCTTGGGCACACATAGGCAGACTACCTGCATGCTGAAAAAATAACTACTTTTCCTAAGTGCCTTTGGTGAAAGCTGCCAGTCCTTTGATGATTTTCAGTGGGGTGATAGCTAAAGCCTCACAAGGCAAGTTAGTCACAGAGTTAATTTGTGGACAGAGGTGTTTGTCAGTCCATAAGTAGGCAGCTGGCTGGCTCCTGTGAAGTAACCAAGGTCAGACTCTTATCCTAGCAAGAAAACCATGATGAGGTTTGTTGTTTGTTTGTTTAGACAAGATCTTGCTATGTAGTTGAAGCTGGTCTCTAACTTATAATGCTTTTGCCTCAGCCTCCCAAGTGCTGGGATTACAGGTGTGCTCCACCATGCCTAGCTGAACCCACTGATTTTTTTTCTCCTTATATAAACCAAGTAATGAAAGTAGCAGCAAACCACAACTCTAAAGGGAGTGATAGAGCAACACCAGAACTGAATTTTGGCACCATTGCTGCCGTGCAGGCTTCCTTCTCACCTACATGAACGTTCACACGCCCACTACACAGCATTCTCTTCGGGAATAGGGAAGGCACAAGGGAGCCCGTGGTTGGTGTGGAGTGCTGCCTTGCACCCTGTGGTACCAGGATTTGAGCTTCCTGTCTTCGGGCAGTGGTGATGCTTGATGTGAGCTGATGGATTACCTGACTCACTGTTTATTCCCCAGCAGACATTTTCTGACTGTCAAATGGAGTGTAGAGAAAGCATAGGGCCCAGATGACCTTGAGGACTCCTAAGCACCACCGAGTTTACAACAACCAATCATTCAAAGACCCAGACCCAAGCCCTGCACTCCACAGCCACCAGCCTGCTTCCCACACCTCAGGTTCCTTCAGTGCCCACAGTACAGGGTCTGTGCAGAAACTATAGGAAGTTAAATTTCTAAAGCACTTGGCACCTGCTGAGCACTCAATAAATGTTAACTGTTAGGAACTAATTGTCACTGGGTAAAGGAGAGTGAAGGCAAAAACTAGGTAGTATTTAAGTAGTTAAGAGAAAGCTGCAGGATCAGACGTCCTCCTTCATGAAGTAGAATAACAGGGTACCCACCCTGAGTCTGCTGTGAGTAATTAAACACATGCACCGAAAGGCAGCGATTTTCAGACGCAGTGAGGTATTCGAGAGCGCCCATGTTTCCTTCCCAAGTGGTTCTCCTGGAGGATACGTCATTTGTGACTACGCATAGTGTCACATCTGGGCACAAAGTGTGTGTGGTGTTCTGTGTCTTTTTCCTGCTCTTCTTAGCTTCATTTCCCTTCAGCATACCTGTCCACCATGCTGATGTATGTCTCACAGGAGCTGCGCAGTGTTTTGTACATGATTCTGCTGTGATCTGTTAATCAGGTCTCTGGATATGACCTTTCTATTGATTTTAGTTTTTCACTTTTGTCATCAAGACACACAGACATTTGTGTGTACATATCTTGGTTTATTTATCTGCGTTTCTGCTTTTTACAAATTGAAATATAATTCATATATAAAATCAGCCTTGTAGTGTATAATTTTGTGGTTTTTAAGTATATTTGCATAGTTTTGCAACTATCGAGTTAGGAATATTTTCATCATCCCAAAAGAAACTCTGAACACCATTAAGCAGTCACTCCACCTTCTTCCAACCCCTGCCGACACTTACCTACTTTCTGACTCCATGGTTCTGACAGTGCTGTACATTTCTTCTAAAAGAACTCGTATTATAATACATGGTCATTCAAAACTGCCTTCTTTCATGTAGCACACTGTCTTCATGGTGAGCATGTACTATGAGTTCTTTCCTTGCCTTTGCCAGAAAACAGGCCACTATATGGCTCTCCCACGTTTTTATCCATTCAGCAACTGATGGGCACTTGTATTATTTTTATTTTGAGTAGAATTGCTGGTCATGTGGTAACTCTTGTATTTAAACTTTGAGGAACTGACAGACTGGTTTTCAAAATGTCTTCACCAATGTGTAATCTCACAACCATAAGGTTGGTGAGATGAGGGCTTTGATTTTGCCACTCCCTTGCCACATCCATTGCTGTCTTTGGGAGTCACCAGTGGCTGTGAAGTGAGATCTCATTGTGGTTTAGACTTGTATTTCCAGTGATGTTGAACATCTGAATGTGCTTCTTGGCCACCAGTATATTTGGAGAAAGGTCTTTTCAAATCCTTCATCCATTTTTAAATTGGGATGTTTGTCTTTTTATTGTTGAGTGGTGTAAGAATTTTTTAGATATTCTGGATACTAAAACCATTATCATTGTATGACTTGCAAATATTGTCTCCCATTCTGGAGGCTCTTTTTTTGTTTTACTTTGTGTGTTGTCTTTTTACTCCTCAATATCTTTTGAGGCACAGAAGTTTGATTAGTGAAGTCCAGTTTATCTGTTTTTTCTGTCATTTTGTCATTGTATCACATGTGGATTTGTGTGACCACCAACCACAACCAAAATACAGAAAACATTGATTCCTTTGCCAAAAGACCTCCCTTATGTGATCCTCTGTTCACACCAGAAGCTGTTTTTGAATCATCATTGTACCTTCATTGGCCTGCGAGTTATTTGCATGTGTGTGTTCACTGTTATGTTACTGTTTTTATCTAATAGGCTGAAACAAGCCAGGGGGCTCTGGGCACACTGGCAAATGTGGTGACCTCCCTTGCCAACCTAAGTGAATCCTTGAACAATGGTGACACTTCAGAAATCCAGCCAGAGGACCAGTCTGCAAGTGAGATTACTAGGTATGAACCTATGAGGGTAGGGAGCCCTTCCTTACCTGCCCCTTCCCGCACATATAATTGCTGTCTTGTGAGGGTGAGTGGCTGCATTTTGGCATCCATCTTTGACTTGCTTGTTTTGCAGTGCTGGAAAATGAACTCAGCCCTCACACATGCTAAAAGCAAGCACTCTGCCACTGAGGTACATGCCCAGCCCTGCATCTTGTGTTTAGTCAAGTTGTCACAAGGATCTTTCACATCTGTCTTGTTTCAGTGAGAACGTGGGCCCACTTACATTACATGATATGAAGCAAGCAAAATTGCTTTTCATTCCAAACAATGGGAAGGGAGATCTTTCTGTGGACACATGTTCCTTATTTGGACTTTTGTTCAGTGCACCAGCACAATGGTAGCTCCTCCTTCCTGCTTCTGTTTTTAGCCATTTTTTCTCAAGTCTGTTTTTTCTAAGTGGTGAATTTAGACTTGAACCACCAATGATGGAGAACAGTGGCTGGTCCCAGACATAAGTGACCAGTACCAAGGACTTCCCTTCGCTGTAGCGTGGCTGGAGTGTTTTCCTTCCACTCATGGTCTTACTGTCAGGCTAGCCAGGTGTATACCTGAAGCCCACATGAGTGCTCTGTGGTTCTCCTATTCACTTGCAGTCCGGTAGAGAGATTCAGATCTAAGTCCAGGGGAAAGAGGATGGGATTCAGAGTGGATAGAATTCTGGTTCTGCACAATCTGGATGTTCTTGGAAAAGTTATTTAACATCTGTATGCCTCAGCATTCACATGTGTAAATGGAGAGAATTTTACTGTTAGAGGGTAGCTATGAAATGTAGAAATAAATGTAAAGATAAATATTATACACAGTTAGGTGCTTAAGATGATATATGGATAATGCATAAAAACTTCCATTGTTAGCCCTTCTCTCATGAGGTGGAACTGAATTATCTTTTCCTCAGTGCATCGCTTTTCTAAATGATATTTCAGCTAGTGCTCATTGCCATTCTTTTTTTTTTTTCCCCAGGGCATTTGATACCTTAGCTAAAGCACTTAATACCACCGACAGCGCCTCGCCTCCAAGCCTGGCAGATGGGGTAGATCCCAGTGGAGGAGGGAGCATCCACGTCATCAGCAGAGACCAATCAACACCCATCATTGAGGTTGAAGGCCCCCTCCTTTCAGATACTCACGTCACATTCAAGGTAAGTGCATTCGGTCTACATGTACCATCAGTCTCCCCAGCCTTCTGGGAGCCAGGCTATCAGAGCTGGTCTGCAGTTTTACAGTAAAACCTCGCAGTATGCTCATTTTCTTGCTGTACTGTTGGACGTCATGGTTCCAGCACAGGTGGTATTCCCACTGTGAAGCATGTCCACTTGTCTTTGGCTCACAGCATTGTTCGGTTCTGAAGGTAACCCTGAAGGAGGAGGTGTGACCCATCATTGCCAGCATGGGCTGCTGTGTGCTAACCAGCAAGGGCCGAGGCTGGCTGTTTGGCCTCTGCCTTCCCGGGACAGCCTGGTTTCAGCATAGGTTTGGGAGTGCCTTTATTCCTTTCTGTGTAGAGAAGTCCTTTGATAAGCTCTTTAGCAAGTAGGCAGCCAGCCACTGGTCTAGAGGCCACATTGCCCTCTAGAGTCACAGGAGGGAGACTCCTACCATCCTATGGGAGTCCCGTGCTCCCCTGCCCTGGCCTGCCCTCCTGCAGGGCACTCTTTGGGTTCCTGAGGCCTCTCAGTCTCTAGTGTCCAGAGTGAGACTTCCTGTCTCCAGTGCTCTTTAATGAAGAGACCTGGCAGTCATTTGGGAAGATCAGATTTTCCCAAGGGTGCCCAGGACATGGCACAGAATCAGTGGGATTCCGGCTTCAAAGACACTATAGCCCTTGTGAACATCAGAGGCCCTGAGTTCAGGCCATCCGTTTTTCTTGTGAGATGTCGCCTTCCAGCATGTGGGCTTCTGCTCAGTGTCCTCTCACTGACATCTTGAAGCCACCTACAAAAGCACCTGCCAGCCCTTGAAGTTGACCCTTGTACCCTGATTCCATTTAGATGTTAACCTAAGGCTTGAAATGGAACAAAATAGATGACAGATTAGTTGAGACAAGAGCCGACAGGATGGTTTTTGAATGGGTATGCTGTGAAGTCTCCTCGGGGCTTTCAACCATGATCCTGGGTCAATGAGCAAAAAAAACAGTGGGGATCTGGTACATGCTCCTATTTCTTGAACATACCCTCCACTAAGAACAGGTCCATGGGCTCTGCAAAATCGAACACTGTCCCTGACTGCCTCTGTTCTTAAAACTGTATGAAGATGTGTGTTGACAGACAGAGCCATCCTGTCTCTTCTGTGTGCCTCCTCTTTTCCAGCTGACAATGCCCAGCCCGATGCCCGAGTATCTCAATGTGCACTACATCTGCGAATCTGCGTCCCGACTGCTCTTCCTCTCCATGCACTGGGCTAGGTCAATCCCAGCCTTCCAGGCACTTGGGTAAGTGACCTTTCGTTCTGTGTGTATCCTTGAGTAGCGGCCTTCCCCTCTCCAGGACTGACCTGCAAGGTCTCTGAGTACCTTTTCAGTTTGCCTGTTGCTGTTCCTCATTCGGCAGCCCTGAGTTTCTTATTAAATGTAGTCAGTAGACTAGAAGCAGGGGGCTGTGGTGGTCAGTCCTTCAGTGCCCCTCACACTTTAATGGAGCCTCCTACATGTGCTAGGAGCTGTGCCTGGGCCCTTGGCAGGACGACTGGAACTCAACTCTGCCTTCCAACAGAGTCCCGGCTCACATTACTGCATAAGCTACCTTGCCTTGTTGCAGTCAGCACAGCAAGGAACACAGAGTTGGCTCCTGTTCCTTGCTTGCACATGAAGCATCACTGTGTGTCTGGGTCATGTTTCCCCTAAGTCTCAACAGCAGCTGTGCCATATGCTAAGTCTGTACCAGCTACCATTGTGGCTCTCAGTCTGGCTGGAAGATACACAGCTGCATGAAAATGGAAACACAGTGAGAAAACACATCCTGTGAGGAACTGACCTCAAGTAGAGTGTGGAAAACACTAGAGAGAGGCCAAGTTGTCCACTGGTGTACATCCCTGCCTTGAGACAGGCAGAGCTGAGTTTGGGGCCATAAGAATAGCATTGGCCAGCTGTAGGGCCTTGTGCAACTCACTTCATTTCTCAGAGCTTCCACTGTCTTCCCCATAGAATCTTTACAAAGGGTTGAGGTCCAGAAATCTCTCAGCCCAGTGCTGGGCATTCAAGATGGCACTCGGGAGAAGTGGGTGTGGTGCTGTAGAGTTGGATGCTAGGGCTCCAGCCATGCTCCAGAATAAAAAGAGAGGCAGAAACTGGGCATGGGGGCACAAAGCTACTAAGGAGACAGAGGTGGGATGATCATGAGTCCAGGGTCAACCAGGGCAAAGGTAGCTGCAAGGAAACTACAAACAAAAGAGCTCGGGGCGTGGCTCAAGTGGTAGTGCTTGCCTGGCTTATTGGAGGCCCTGGGTTCAGTTTCCAGTATCACCAGCAACAAAAAAGAGATGGACTGGATTGACTTGCATTCTTGGCAGAACTGGACAGGCACTGACTGACTGCTAAATAAGTGTTGCAAGTTCCTTGTGAATGCTTTAGGACAATAGCCCTTGCTGCCACCTGATAGATGGTGTAACTTTGGCCTCCTGTTCTTAACCCATGGTCATCAGTACTATTAGGGAGGTAAGATTGTATGTGGGGTTAAACAATGATGACCCACTTCCTTGATTGTGGGGTTTTTTGTTTGTTGTTTTGTGATTAATTTTTAAAATTGTTGTGCTGGGTGTGTACATTGTAGCATTTACACAGGTTCTTACACTGTATTAACTCACCCCCTCCACCACTCTCCTTCATCCCTCCTCCTGATTCCTGGAACAGTTTCAACAGGTATTATTTTTGCATTTATATACATGTGTATACATTATTGCACTGTATTCATTCTCCTACCCCTTTCCCTGCCCTCCCCCTGTTGTTTTCCATTTGAACAATTTGGAGTCTTCTCCACAGGGTTTCTTAGGCTAGGCTAGGTAAAATATGCTACCGCATTTAAAGTCATCTTGATTATATTTCACATATTTGTCTTCATAAATTAGCGCTCAGGGTAGTAATCAAAATAAAATACAATGCATGCATCTGTGGTGTGGTAGTGGCTCTGTGCAGCAACCCAGTTCTCCTTGGAGCTAGGCCAGCCTTGATGTAGCTGGAGGAAATGCTCTGCCAAGACAGCCCAGTTTCTTTTGCCTCCTGAAATCCTGGGACAGGTGGAGGGATGCTGCACCTGTCAGCTTGGAGAATAAGGATGGATTGTTTCACAATATGCCACCCAAGCTAACGCCTCCTTTTGAATAGCAGTTACCCAGAGAGAGCTGCAGGCAGGGTAGTATCTAGCAACCTCAGTCCCACTGAGGTTTGTGTGCCTCCTGCCTTCCAGGGTTGACAGAGTGTTTCTGCCCTTCATTGTCCACATTCAGCTCTTGTCCTTTGATGCATGTAGCCTCTCACGACCTTGACTGTAGGACCTCAGCCACAAAAACCCATCTCTTAGGACAGAGCCACGTCAGGGCCGCTTAGGATTTAGAAGGTTGTAGGAAACCATGGTTTGGCCATCCCTTCTAAAGCCTCTCATTACTTAAATCTAAAGAATCTTTTTTTAGGAGAATATTGTCAGAGGGACTTCACTTAAAACACTGGTAGACTAACTCATTTTCTAGGAGAGAATGGTCCCGGACACACTGTAGGCCTTCCCCACAGCCTTGCGGGGTCTCCTTGTGTGGCAAGTGCTGGGGCTTAGAAGTCTGCATAGCCCACCTCCCTGGAGAAGTGCCACATACACTCAGCTTCACATCCCTGTGTCCCCAGACAGGACTGCAATACCAGCCTGGTGCGGGCCTGTTGGAACGAGCTCTTCACCCTTGGCCTGGCCCAGTGTGCCCAGGTCATGAGTCTCTCCACCATCCTGGCGGCTATTGTCAATCACCTGCAGAACAGCATCCAGGAAGGTAGGGCGTGGGGATGTGGGGGTGCCGTGTGCCTTGGTCCAGCCTGTGCCCACTGGACAGAGCCCATCACTAGCTGAAGGCCTCTACCAAAGCTTTATCTGTATTTACCAAGACTAACAACTTGGCAGATTGGCCAGCCTTGATGTCCCCCCATCCACAGGCCAAGGAATGCTTGACTGATAAATCATGGGACCTTTGCAGTCTGTGCATTTGAATTTTTAAAGACTGGAAAAGTCAGCACCCTGAATAGCATGTAGTGATGTCTTCAGCAAAAACACAGCTTGTGTTTTCATCTTCACTGAAGTTGCACTTTCAAGAATAACTCAGGAATGGCCGGGTCCTATACAGTAGGGTGCTTGAGGTCTTAGAATGTGAGTTACCTAGTGCCTTTACTTTTCAAATTAGTCTCCTGAAGTAGTTACTGAATTTTAATGAGATTTGTTTAAATGAGCTTTTATTTCCTTTATTTTTAACTGAGGGTAACCATACTAACGGCCTTTAGTATAGTATTGGCAGAAGGATTAAATGAAATGACATAAAATTGTTTTGACAACTAAAAAAATGCCATCTCTTAATGTTCAAGTCAGCAAACACTCATCTGGGACCTGCAGAGATTTACTGATAAGAACCGAGACTGAGTTCTACACAGACGATGAAAGGAAGTACTCTCTGGTACCTACAGGCCAAGGGTGCTGGGGATAGGAGGGACAGAAGAGTCACTGTTCTTGGGTGGGTCACTGATGCAGAGCACACAGGCAGTGGAATCTGGGTACTTGTTACTTTACCGTTTCTTTTCCATATGTGGCCCCTTGAAGAAGCTAGTTTCATTGTTCTTGTCAGTTCTTCTCAGGGGCTCTGTGCTGTTGCCTTCTAGATAAGCTTTCTGGTGACCGATAAAGCAAGTCATGGAGCACATCTGGAAGCTGCAGGAGTTCTGTAACAGCATGGCAAAGCTGGATATAGACGGCTATGAGTACGCATACCTTAAAGCTATAGTTCTCTTTAGCCCCGGTAAGACACTCGGTGGGGACTCGTGACACTTTTGCACTGTGTCTGCTGACACTCCTGAACACGATTGTGTTGTCAGTGACATAGAGAGCCCGGCCACATTGCCTGTGCCCCAGTGTTGCCATAGGTGCCTCACTAGCTGCATTGTACAGAAAGCCTGTTAAATCTTTGCCCTCAGTCCCCAAAGAAACAAACACACTGGTGCCTGCAGACATCATGTACTGAGTAGATTTGGTCTGTGTCCTAATTACACCACTGGACAAACAAGACTGCAGCATACAAAGTCAAGTGTACTACCACCCAATGTCCTTTCTCTTTCCTTTCTCTGGCTTTGGCTCTTTGCCAGGTTCCATATTCTGTTAGCATATGTAATCCAGGCAGAATGAAACTCCTCATGCACTTAGCAGCTTCTGGGGATAGCAGTGTAGCAGCTGCTGCAGGCCATGCCTAAGGTGCGGTCAGAGCTGTTGAAGAGATGGCAGGACTGTTGGTGGGAACCAAGAGGTGCCTGGGCTGGCCTCACTCATAGCCCTCCCCATAGCTGTTCTCTCAGAACCTCTAGAGAGGTCCCTTGGGCTGTCCACTGTTCTCAACTGCAGGGGTTGGACACAGTATATAGCCTTTCTCTTCTTCCCCAACACTCCATGCACAAACAACAGAATAGCTGATAAAATTGGGAGAAATTGTGTAATTAAATATCTAGAAAGTAATAATTTCTAACTTCATGTAATTTTAAAACCTATGTTTTTTAGATGTCCAGAACCGTCCCGGGGTGTGGGGGGAGGAGAGTGGGCTGCCCAGGCTGGGGTGGCCACTCAGGAACCCAGCTCCCTTCTGGAACCTCCCAGTAATCCCTCCTTCCATCAGCCTTAGAGTTCAATTTGTTTTACTTAAGAAGTTTGTCAGAAGTCTGACTAAAAAGTTGCCTTGGGAGGTCTGCAAGTGAGACTTTCCAAATGCAGAAGGGAACTTAGGGTACCTTTCTGTTTTCAGATCACCCAGGTTTGACAGGCACAAGCCAGATTGAAAAATTCCAAGAGAAGGCACAGATGGAGTTGCAAGACTATGTGCAGAAAACATACTCAGAAGACACCTACAGGTGAGGCCCTCAGGCCCAGGCTCTTGTGGGGGGGAGGTGGGGATGAGGGTGGCTGGGTCAGTGTTTTGAAATATTAATTTCTATTAGCCTTCCCGTTTCTAGCAGCCTGGCAGTGATATGTGGTAGCTTGTGGAAGTGCCAGGCCTGCCACTGCTCCTGTACACCTGTGGCCAAGGCATCAGACACATGGCACATGGAGTAAATGCCCGGCAGTGTGTTCAAGGCTGACTCTGCATGAGACTTTAGTTCTTCCGGAGACTCCCTTGCTACATGCAAGTTAGCCACCCTCGTGCATATTGGACAGCACGGTTGTGCAAATCTGCCAAAGAGTAGAATGCATGGGCAGCTACTCCAAACTGCTTCTGACCCACTGGAGGCTGTGTGAATTTCTGCTGCCCTTTCACGGGAATTACTTCATTTTTCCCTCTCTAGACTTACGCCAACTGTGTAGAACTCAGTCTGTGGGCGCCCCCAGATACAGAGGGGCTGCCTTCTGGCCATGTGCTTCCCCAAGGCATGGTAAGCAGTTGTCCTTGGTTTGGATCAGTGCTAAAACCATGCCAGTCCCCAGCCATCTCTTTGGTGTGACGAGGGACCTGCGGCTAGTGCCCCTGGTAGGCAGGGAGCCTGCTCTTTCTGCACACCTCCATGGCCAAATGCAGTTTTTGCAAAATGACCTTCCACAAGAATCACTGAAGATTTATCACTGTGAATCGAGAATGATTTCTGCCAGCTTCCATGCCTAGAATGCCCACCTCCAGCCTGGCACGCAGGCACATTCCCCTCCAAGGCCACAGGCTTGCTCCCACAGCTCCCAGGGCCAGGAGCCCCCACAGGCTCACACTCTATCTAGAATCACCTTAGCATTAGCTCAGTGGCCTTGGAAGGTAATGTCATGTTCCTAAGAAACCCTGAGCCAACCTTGATCCCGTCCAGGATACGCAAGTGGAAAGGGAGGTACCTTGCGATTCAGAGCCAAAAGTAAGATAAGGAGGCTTTCTGGTAAGACTCAGAAACAGTTCTCAAATAAGACGCCCTAAAATGGAATATACTCTCTTTACACTTTCATTTTTTAGTCTTTCCCATTGTGTCTGTTCTCTTACTGGCTGTTCCTCCTGAAATGCCCTCCTGTGCCTCCCCATTGTCAGCATCTGTGCTGACACGAGCCTCAGCCATCCACCGAGGCCCAGTTATGACGGCCTGTACTCCAGGAAGTCTGCCCTGATTTGCTCTTGCTGACTCCTGAACCTCTTCAGCCTGTTTTACACCTCAGAGTCTAAGGTAGTACCCCTTCACTGCCATGTGCCCTGCAGGATCAGAGCATGGCAACTCAGGGTGCCAGGCGAATGGATGGTGCTGCAGGAATGCTGTTTTTGTAACACCGATAACTTTTTTTTCCCCCCCCTGGAAGTACTGAGGTTTGAACCCAGGACTTTGCACTTGCTAGACAGGGACTCTACCACTTGAGCCACGCCCCAGTTCTTTTTGCTTCGGTTATTTTTGAGAGAGGATCTCCCTTTATACCCATGCGATCCTCGAACAGCAGTCCTCTTGATATCCATGTCAAGTAGCTAGGATACAGGCTTGAGCCCCGATGTCCAATAACCTACCCCTTTTTAAAACAGCTTTCATGCTGTAGAAAACATAAAATATTCTACAAGCAAAAATGGGAAAGAAGAGTGCTCCTGTTAAAAACGTAGGACTGTCCAGAGGATGCTCATATCATTCTGTGTACATGCTTTCAGAAGTCACCTATGCATGTGCAACTGAGATCATAAAATCAGGTGTCATAACCTTTCTTTACCTCATGGGAAACCAGAGCACAGGCTCTTTATCACTTTCCATGGCTAACACTCCTGACTAATAAAAAGGCGGGTCATTTGCAGTTTGGACTGGGGCCCCTGGTACTGCAGTAGCATCCTAGCCCACATCCACTTTGCTCCTCCCAGATGGCTGGGGCTGGGGAACTGCAGGTCATGTGAGACGGCACCCTCCACCCTCCATGGCAGGGGCAGGGAGGGTCGGGGTCATGCTGGGCTCTCATCAGGTTTTCTCCAAAGGAGAACTTGTTTGACTTCTTCACATATAATAAGGGCAACGTTTTACTAGGGAAAAATCACTTTACATCCCAACCCTGAGCCTGAAGTCTACTTGTGAGCACTTACATTGAGCATCCTTCTAAGTGCTTTACAGACACCTAGAACACATTGTCCCGTGGTGCTTTACTGCCTTCTTTTTCTGCAGTGCTGGGGTTTAAACTCAGGCCTACACCTTGAGCCACTCTACCACTAGCCCTATTTTTTTTTTTTTTTTTTGATGGGACTGGGGTTTGAATTCAGAGCTTCATGTTTGCAAAGCAGCACTCTACCACTTGAGCCACTCCTCCAGTAGTTATTTTGGAAATAAAGTCTCTTGAACTATTTGCCTGGGCTGGCCTTGAACCGTGATCCTCCCAATCTCAGCCTCCCAAGTAGCTAAGATCACAGGCTTAAGCCAGCAGCACCCAGCTGCTATCCTTACTAGTAAGTACGTAACGGCCCTTAACCTGTCATCTGCTGATGAACTTGGAGGTTTTTTTCCTTTTGTGCAAGTGAGGAGAGGAGTTACAAACAAAATGAGAACATGTGTACACTCACCTGTTTAATTTTTGTTCTCATGATAAACTCCTGAAAGAGGAACTGTTGAAATCAGAAAAAACAAGAGGCAGGTAGATGGTGGTCTGTGCAGGGTTCCCAGAAGCCAGTATGGGCTGAGGGTAGCCAGCCACTGCATTTCTCTAATAAGACTCCCTCTTCCAGATTGGCCCGGATTCTTGTCCGTCTGCCGGCACTCAGGCTCATGAGCTCCAACATAACAGAAGAGCTTTTTTTTACTGGTCTCATTGGCAATGTTTCAATAGACAGCATAATCCCATACATCCTCAAGATGGAGACAGCAGAGTACAATGGTCAGATCACAGGGGCCAGTCTATAGTGCACGCCACGACCTGCTGACAAGAGACGACAGCCCTGCCAGGACCGTGCAGACACAGGGAAGTAAAAGTAATGGTACCTTGGGATGTGCAAATATCTCCAGCGTGTTAGCCACTTCCTGCCTGGTGTCCTCTTACCTGTTAATCCCAGACAATAGCAACTAAAAGACTAGTAGGATCTTTTCCTGCCATAAGAAATGTTTTAATGCCTTTTGATGAAGCAGATTTTGGAACAATATTTTAACTCAATTTGTATCTAGAAATCCTCAAAGGGCAAAAAACAAAAATGAGGTTTTATAATGTCAGAGACTAGTATTAAAGAAAACTAAAAGAACCTAAGAGAACAGTATGTGTGTAAATATATTAAAAATGTCCTTGGAATTAATAGTTACTAATTACCAGGGTAACATTAGCACTTTCTAAGCACTTCTTATAAAATTTGTAATGTTAAAAACACCTTGCCTGTGGGCAGGGCAAATGGAAAACTGTCTTTTGCCGAAATGCTGATTATTGTGAAAGCTCACGAGCGGTGAGGAGACAATCATTGGTGTTAAGGAGAGGACGGCACTCCTAACTGTGTGCACCTGGCAGCATTGAGCGAAACTCCTGTGAAGGAAATGTGGCTTATTGGTGTTGTGCCTCAGTGCAAGGGTGGTAGTGGCACAATCAGTGGTGACACTAACCAGGAGCTGCCAGCACAGCATCCTGGTCTGTAATGGGTGTCTGCATGTTCTTCCAGAACTGGGCTCTCCTCTAATGGCTGCCTTTCAGAATTGGACTGCAGCTTGTCAGGCTTACCTGCCAAGTGGGTTGTGTGATCCTTCCAGTGACTGAAAACACATCCATGTCCTCTCTCCCACTCATGGCAGCTGGGACTTTTTGACCAAAAAGTGCAGGGTGGGCATTCTGAACCCTTGACAGCACTTCCTGACTATGACTTGGGGCTGCATCCTGTCCAGGAGTGTGGCCTCTGGAGTAAGGGGTCCCTTCTTGGGGTGCTCATTCCTGGTATCCCATGGAGGGTGGCCTGTGTCTCTGGTTAGTCAGACCAGTGGCTTAATGGGGGCTGTGCAGGGCCCTGGGCCTGGTATAGCTTAATGGAAGATGTCGGGACGAGTTCTTTCTGCTGATCTTCAATGAGAGGAATTTTCAGTGTCTACACTTGCCATCTGTTTTTCAGTGTTCTGACACAGTGCACACTGGTTTCCCAGGTGCTCACCGTGCCAGCAAAGCCCCCTGAAGCATTTAAAATGAAGAAGCAGGATGCCCAGTCTTTGAAAAGCAGCCCTTAGGCCAGGCACGTGGCATGTGCCTGGAACCCCACAGCACTGAGGAGGCAGGACAACTGCAAATTTGAGACCAGCTGGGCAACTTGGTGACAACCTTTCTCAAAACTTAAAAAAAAAAAAAAAAAGTGGGGGGAAGAGGGAGAGGCTGTGAATGTAGCTCAGTGATAGAGCACTTGCCTAGCACATACGCAAGACCCTGGGTTCTTGCCCCAGGACTGGGAAGGAAAAACAGACAATTCATTCTCAAACTCAAGGTGATACTCTTCCTCCTTAGCAAATTATATTGGCCAGTTTACGGGAGCAGACTTTGGTTACAAGGACGTTATTCTAACTAGAGCACACAGAATTCCTGAGGAGTAAGTCAGTAGCAGGCCTCTCTTGAGAAGAGTGGCCTGTGGGAGACTGGGTTGGGCGCTTTGTATTTTATTTTTTAAATTACCTCCTATAAAGTTAAGTTTGCATCTGTTGAACCTGTGATTGTATGAGGTCCAGAATCTCAGGACACTCCCTGCCCTGCAGCGCGCTCATGTGGCTCCAGGTGTTGGCAGCACTGTTGGTGGGAATAAGCATGGGCAGTACTGCCAACTTCCAACTCCCCATCTGAACTCAACTGCGTCACTTACAGGTCATGCCTTGGGCAACACTAGAGAGCAGTGGGGATGGCAGTTACAAGATGACAGAAAGGTTCTAAGAGGGTGGGTCTTGCCCATCTCTACCCGGGAAACACATCTGTGCACCTTACACAGTTGCCTGTTTTTCTGTTCTTGCAGTTTGTCAGTATGAATGTGTTGATCCTTGTTCCCAGGTGCTCAGTGGTGGTGGGGCCTGGACTTCCTGTGTGCTAGGCTATTTAGATGAGGGTTGGATGAGGAAGTGAAACAGCACCAGAGAAAAGTCAAGTTTTTTGGCATTCAAGTACTTTAAGAAATGATGTGATTAACTGGAGGTTTAGCTCCTGGACTGTGTGCAAATGAGGACCATATTCTAGGGTTGGAGGGAGCCTGGATCCCTAAGGAAGGTGAGGGGAAAATACCACTATTTTAGCCCTCGAGGTCCTGCTTAAGTCCTACCACTGGTAGTGGCCAGCTTCAGGGGACCCTTTTGGGCTTTGAGCACACCTTGACTGGTTTCCCACATCTTTTTGGCCTTACGTTGAAGTGGTGTTTTCTTTAAGGGTCACATCCACATCACCCAAGTTCTTGCTGCCTTTGAGTGCAGTGTGGTTTCTGTCTCTTGCCAGAGTGCTTTAGGAAAGTTAACCTAAAGCTAACAGTCATTTACCAAAATCTCAACCAAACATTTGGGCTCCAGCTTTCACAGGCTTTTCACCCTTGGTAGTAAAGTACTTTGTGAAAGTTTGCATCTGGTGAATTGAGACCAGAATGTGCCCAATTCCTGAGCTGATTTGCCATGGAACCTGGCCGCCCCTCTCTTAATGAGTGCACAGTGACTTGGGGAGAGACGACAGACACACACTGTCACTTCTTGGTTAAGTGGACTCTTTTCCAGAAGTATCTCAAATAATGTTGGGTTAAGGTAGTTATGTGTTAAAATTTGTGGAGGTCATTACACTTACTATGATAGGACAGAAGAGATGTAGAAAAAAGACCAAATTTCTTAAGTCAATACCACTGGTTACATTACTCCTAAAAGTGATTAATACAGAAGTTAATCCTCCTAATTTGAAGTTTGTGTGTAGTGAGGGAGTTGCATTGTTTGTCTAACCTCTGACATCGGTTGCGCCTGCAGTTTTGGTTTTTGGTGTTTATACTGAAGTTTGGGTGTGATCGCCCATGTTACGCTGTTGAGAGCTGGTTCTCTAGCTTGCATTAGATGTGGACTCTGTATGGGGCAGTCAGAAGAGCTGCCAGGGTGTGACAGTGGAACCACAGCATCCCCACCACACACTTGGTTCTAGGGGCAGCCATGGCACTGGACTGAGAACTAAGGACTAGCTGGTGCCTTTCCCCTGGGGGAAGCCCTAAGGCCTGTAGGGGCACTTCCTGCAGGGCCTTGGGCTCTGCTCAGCTGCTGTGGCTGGCAGTTAGTGCCCAGCATCTATGGATCTGCCTTCTGGGACCTGGTCTCAATGGAGGGTATAAGCTGCTTGCCTGCTTTCCACTATAAACAGCTTGATGTGCATTGAAACTGTCCTCCGACTCCTGCTTTTCTCCTAGCTAGAGGGCCCTAGGACCATCTCCGTCTGCTGGGTAGAGGCCCTGCCTCTTCCCTTACCCAACCTCCAGTCTCCAGGTTATGCAGCTCTTTGAAAATGTCAATTTTTATAGACACAGGGTTTGTTTGGGTCTTTTGTACACAGGTTTTGGACCTTCTCATTCTGTGCCTCCCACCAGTGTGCACAGCCCTGGTCCCTTTGGCGACACTGTGCATATCCAGAGTTACAGGCCTAGATGACTGAATGAATGTACGTGTGTTTATATCTTCTCTGTACAGTGTATATAGTGTGTACATAGGTGTATATTATGTATACAGACATGTAGCCACGTACCCAAACTTCCCTATGTTGTCAGGACAGTTTATGGGTACATTGCTAATGGAAATGTGGGTGTTCCAAGGTCTCGACTGGAGAGGTGTGCTGGTCAGTTTCATAATTGCATTTCCCTGAGGAGTGGAGAGTACCTGGGAAGGGCTAGGCAGTCAGTGGCCCCTCTGCACAAGGAAGCCTCCAGCCAGAAAAGGCTGTGATAGGCAGGCCATTCTCTGTACTGTCCAGGTTCACAAGGCCAGGAAGCTGGGCGACAGCTTGTCCTAACATCCAAAACTAAGTGGTTACTTCACCCTGCTTTGGAACTCGGTGGTGGAAGCTGTCAGCCTTCTCCACAGCTCTGAGCTCTTGCATGGTCTACAGGTAGGCAGTGTCAGGACGTGGGCTGGCCCAGGTGTAGAAGCATCTCCCAGAGGTGCTGCGGTCGCCCATGCTCACTCTGTGCTCAGTGCACACGACTTGGCACTGTCTTTGACCAACAGACTTTCCCGTCTAATGCCAGGTGAAGACCATTGGCCTTCCCAGCATTCTTTAAGTGTGAGTGCTAACTTTGTGGCATGGAAAGTAAAATTATTCCTCTACCTGGAAGCAGGCAACTGAAATCCACTCAACTCTTTCTATTATGATTTAGATTTTAATGTGGATATGCCCTTAAAACTACAGATGCCAAATTTTCCTTATCCACCAGATCTATCTGATGAAATGTGTACCCGTAACAAGGCTGTAAGCTGAGCCAGGGTGCTCGGGCCTGCGCAAGGGAAGCACCGGACGATGGCAGAAACTCACATCACCATTTTTGCTTTTTATTCTGAAATAAGCTATGAAAATGTTTGAAAACACTTTCTGAGCCCATAGTCCCCAGTGCCTTTTGTGAGACGTGGGCATTCACCTTTCTGCTTCTGCTGCATCCCTGCCCTCACCCACCGTGATTGTTCGACCTTGCCTTGCCTGTTGTGACAATCACACTACTGAACGTTGCTTTCCAGTTAAAATACACATGGATGTCTGACAGCAACAACCTGTAAGCTTAAAAAGTACCGAGGGGGGAAATGCCAGATGTTTTTATTTTCAGTTAAAAAGCCAGTAATTTTGTTGTCTATTCATTAAACATTGAAAAAAAAATGTTTAGCGACACTTAACAGGTTGCAGACTGTGTTAGTTCAGTGTTTGAGTAACAGTTGGGTGTGGTAGACTTTACATCCATCAAAAGTGTCACCAGTTACCATTTTAACGACCCTAGCAGGCACGGGCTCTCAATGCTGCTCCATCTACAACTCAAGTGCTGGAATATTTTTCTACAGTCTCCATTTTCCCAATGATCTTGTAAATCAGTGTTCAACTAGTTTTATAACTGAAAAGCTGTACATTTTTCATAGCACCAACCGTAGTTTGACCTACAGTTCAGATTTCTGTTAAAATGTGGCTGTGTTAACAGCCATTTTAAAAACATGTCTGTTAAAGGAAAATCGGGTGAGGTTTTCTTGGGACCGTTTTCTGTAACCTCTGCCCTTCACAACATAGAAAGTAGTGCCCATGCCACCTTTCAATTCCAGGTTTAAAACCTTTTGAAAGCTGTGACTTTACAGCTCTTCCCCCCCATGTGAAATCAGCTTTGTTATGTGATGGCATTTAAAAAAAATAGCATGTTCTTTTTAAACTGAGTTTTGTATCTGATCAGTGTCTTCAGTCTTGAAGAGGAATTTGCATTGTTGTTTGTATATAGAGTGTTGCAGTGCATGGGTAGCTTTATGCATTTTATTAAATGCTGTTTCAATGTGGCATTACTGTTGTGGCTTACTACTACTACCTAAATGAGGTTTATACTATTAAAAGTGAATTAAAGAGTAGTGTGCATCCTTATTTCTCCAAACAGTAACTAACAGCATCCAGCCCAGAAACCAGCAGTTGGTGGCCTCTACAACTTGAAAACAAAATTGATCCCTTAGGAGAAACAAGGCCAAAACCCTCTGGTGAACACACTGCTACCAGTGTGTCAGATGTAGAGTCCTCACGGAGTCTTCTCCGAGTTTCTCCCATCTTTTGTCACAAAGGAGAAGAAAACCTTGAAGAGATGACAGCAGCCCATCAGTGTTGATTCCCATGAGCCAACATCTGCCTATGGAATGGTTCAAACCAACAGTACAGTTACCCCATAGACATATCCGGCAGCTTCACCACACCTCTGGCAGGCACCCCATAGCCCATCACACCAGGATCAAGCCTGAAGTCAAGTCCAAGACTTGTGTCCCCCTGGGCTGTGAACATTGTTCTCTAAATAAAGAACTGCTTTGGTTCAAAGCCTGGCTCCTACCTCTCACCCACAGAGAGAATGAACACACCCAGAAGCTTTCTGTCTCACTAGCTCCAGAGACCTAAAGTTGGGGACAAAGGAACTACCTGCTTCCCAAGAAGCCCTGCAACCAGGCAGAAAGGCTACCAACGGAGTTGCTAGGCTGAGGCCACAGTAGGGCTCAGCTGGGTAGGGCTAAGACCAGCACCCACACCCACAGGAGGGATTTCAGTGAAAAAGGTGTTTTTTCTACTACTCTCTAAAGTAGGGTGGACAGGCAAGGCGCTAGATTGCACTTAAACACCACGCATACCTATCCATTACACATTAGCGCCGTAGGCCTGAGCATCAAATGGAAAAGGGCCCAAGTTCACACAGCTTAACATAATCGCCAGTGGTTTCCTGAAGCACACTAGCACCCTCACCGCGCTGGCCTGCTGCCTCCTGTGGCGGATGCTGCCCTCAGTCCACTGTACAGAGGAACAAGGTAAGGGCCCGAAGAGCAGGACTAGCCAAGCCCCATCGGGAGGGGGAGGGTGGCATCTCTGTACTTCTGAGCCCCACAAGCCCTGTTTAGTTCCAGCCCTGCATTCTGTACCCCATAGTTGTCTGATCAGCTTTTTCAGGGGTCTATGGTAGACATTAAGGTGACCCTGGAGGGCTCTGCTGTCTGCTGAGGGCCGAAGCCAGTATAGCTGAAGAGGCAGTGGTACCTGAAGGAAGAACTAGGAAGACGTGACACCCTCTAAGCAAACCTAGCAAGCCAGGGCTAGCTAAGAGCTGAAGCCACCTGCACAGCTCCCCTCAGCAGGGCCCCAAGTCTCCAGTAAGCACCTTCACCCTCCCTCCATTCCTGGAAAGCTCCCTGATAAGGCTCAGTGAGGCTGGCTTGGGGAGAGGCCACAGGACTCCCCAAACCCTGGCCCATACATGGACCCCAGGAAGCAAGGGCAACTAGGCTTCAATTGAAAAGATGAGCACTGCACACAGGGTTGCTTTGGATTACTAAAAATACCTAAACGACCCAAAAGGAGGGCCATCCACCCTGCCAGCCATAGCTAGCCCCAGCTGGACGACAGCCCCCATGTCCTCCAGGGTGAGGAGTCTGAGAAAGATTCAGTCAGTGAAGACCAGGACAAGGTCTCAGGGCTGAGATTGTCAGCCACAATCCCACAGGACCATATCCACCACACTGTAGAGACACCAACAGCCTTTTATTGATAGCCAGCCCTGCAGCCATGTGCTCTGGGTCCTCCATACAGGCGTGCAAGCCAGACCTCTCACTGCAAGAGATTTCCAGGCTCTCTGGGACCAAAGTAGTCCCACTCCAATCTCCCGAGCCCATTGGGGCCTGGGGGCCTGGGACCTTCGTCCTTAGTCCTGGGCACTGGCTCTCAGAGCAGCTTTGTACTTCCCCGTCATCTCCTTTGGTAAGGGCACCAGGCTGGGGCAGGGCACCTGCCCCTCCACTTCGCACATGCACTCCCGCAGGCAGTACTTCCGGGGGCCAAAGTTGGCGGGATGAAATTGCTGCTGCTTCTCCTGCTCCTCTTTCCTGAGGGTTTCCCTGTTGAGCAGCACGGGCAGCAAGAAAGCATGACGACATGGCTTGGGGCCCGTGGGCAGGACAGGGGTGAGCTGATCTCTTCACATGTGCACCCCCAAGGTGGGAGGGAGGGAGGGAGTCAGTGACTGCAGGAGGCTGTCTCACCAAGTGAAAAAGCCAAGGTCGCGTGGAAGCAGGAGCTTGCTGGTGTGCTCAGCCTGTGTTCGGGGCCCATAGCTCTGCCAGGGGCAAGGGGACTGGGAAAATCACCCTGGACTTTCACGGCTTTCGCTTCCCTCCCTTTTTTTCCTGTCTCTCTCTATTCATGTAAAGAAAAGGCACATGACCCAGGGCAGATGTGCTGGCACCTAGCTGAGCTTCCCCTAGGAGAAAAGGCAAGCACTTGGGCTGCACCTCAGCTTTCCCTTCCCTTGACCCCCTTCACAGCAGGGGAGGTCAGGCCTGCAGAGGGTCAGAGACGAAAACACACACCTTGTGAGCTGTGATTCTGCTCCCCATGCTCTTGTTACCATCTGGGGTTCAAAATCATCTTCCCTCTCCACATAGCCCCTTCTCCCTCACTTCTTTGGGATGAGTTGTTTTGCTCCCCTCCAGGTCATTCCAGCAACTCACTCGCTCTTCCCCAAGATTTTTCTGATGTGCTCCATGATCTCCTTATTACTCTTGGTCTCCATGTCCACCAGCACCTGCTCCCCAGAATCTGGAAACAAGGGACGGGGGAGAATCTGAGAATCCAAAGCACTCTTGAGCCTCAAAAAGGTTGGTGAACGCCTGTAATCCCAGCACTCAGGAGACTGAGAAAGGAGAATCAAGAGTTCCAGGTCAGCCTGGTCTACATAGCAAGAACCTGTCTCAAAAAAACAGAACCAAATAAAACCAAATTAAAAAAAAAAGGGACTTGGGATTTTCTTTTAGTGGCAGAAACATTTTTACAATAAACTTTTTAAATAACCCAAAATGTACCCTTCCTTTTTCTATTTTTCTTTGGACACTAGTAAACAAAGTATGTATAAAAGCGTTCTTTATTGTAATAAAGACTGCCTGTTTACGGATACCTCAATACTGTGAAGATGGCAATGGTCCCCAAACTGACCTAACACTCAGTGTAATCCCTCTCCAAATCCCAGCTGGTATGTTTGTATAAACAGTAAGTTGAACCTAAAATTCATATGGAAATGCAAAGGAACAAAAACAGCCACAATTGTGAAAAACAAGACAGGAAATCTGGGGGTGTATATCAGGATAGAGGGAGCACATGCCTCACGTGCATTCAACTCCCGGCACCACAGTGGGGGGCGGGGAGTGAAAGAAGGGAAAACATTCATTTTCCAATTTCAAATGTATGTAAATTGAAGTTGCCATAATCGAGACTGTATTAGTTTAACAACAGACACACAACAAATGGAACAGAACCACGTCCAGAAGTAAACCTTACATCGTGCTCCGCTGGTAATTCAATGAGGATAATCTGTTCAACAGATACTGCTGGGAAGGCTGGCTGTCCACATGCAAATAAATGAGCTGAGACTTCACCCCACAATGTTCTTAAAGCATCAAAATGGATGAAAGGCCTCAATGTCAGATGTGGCTCAGTAGTCCAGTGAGGAGCAGAGCCTGAAGCAGGCTCACCTGCCCACATGACCCACCCAGCTCCTGGGCCCATGATGGTCCTCATTCCTCCTCCTCTCACTCACCATCCAAAAAAGAAAAAAAGGAAAAGCTACCAGGAGATTATATTTATATGAAGCTCTAAGCCAAATCTACAGTGAAAGAAGTCCTAACGGAAGGGAATTCAGATGTCCAGGTGACACAGAGGAATCCCCTGGAGTGACAAGAACCTTCTATATCCTCCCTGGGAGAGTGATGACACAGGCCCAGGACTAACTAACCCACACTCCTCAGGAACACTATGGCTCGATGAAAAGCATTTTTAAAAATATTAAGGGCTGCAGTACAGCTCAGTGGTGGAGCACTTGCCTAGCATGCTCAAGGCTCTGGGCTCCATTCCCCAGAACCAAAAACGTGACATGAAAACAAAACTCCGACCCACAATCAGCATGAACCCCAGCTTCACCGGGGATCCAGCCTAGGTGCCTTCTGCTTGTAGTGCTCATCTTTGAACATCATCCCTTATGGGTTTTGTCCACTGTCTCCTCCTGGTGGCACAGAAGCTCCTCCAGGAAGACATCTTTGCCTGTGTGGCTCCCCAACCTCCCAGTACCTAGTCCAGAGCCGCTCCCAGGTGAGCTCCGTACACGGCACACCCAGGATGAGAGAAAGCAAACAAAGCACGTGCTCATTCCACTTCCTGCTGCTCCCCATCCTGCATCCTGACCCCAGAAGGGATGAATACAGCGGTGGGGCTGTCGCCTGCTCAGGACCAGAAAGACTATGCAGAGGGCTGCTGATTTCCCAGCACTGGAGCAAAGCGAGCTGGAAAGTCACAGCATCTGGTCGGACTACGAGCACGCACAGAGCAGAGGACACACGAAGACCGTGGTGACCACCAACAGTGACACTGGGAGCCCAGGTGCCAGCCCAGGGTACAGACAGCTTCCTGGAAGAAGTGAGGGCCAAGGCCAGGTTTTTGTCACTGTGGTGTTGGGGCACAAGGCCTCACACGTGCTAAGCACCTGCTCTGCCACTGAGCTACACCCCAGCCCCTTGCAGGGTTTCTTACATTCAGTAAGCAGACAACACAAAGGAAATTCCCAGGCCAAGAGACCAGCATGAGCAAAGGCATCCCAGCACAGTGCAGCAAGGGAATTTGAAAAAATCAACCCACATGCAAGGAGGTGGAAGACAGCTGGAAATGAGGCTGGCGAAGGAGGGGAGGGGAGGAGAAGGGGAAGAGCCTCCGGATCTATGTGGCCACTGTGTGCACAGTAAGGGAAGCCAGTGACAGCAGCATGGAAGAGCTGTTCAGATCTCCTGACTACCCCCTGCGAGGAAGAACACGGGCAGTCCCAGGGCTGAAGAGCCCCCAACTCACCCAGATAGAACTGCAGGAAGGGGGTCGGTGTCATATTCTTAAACATCACGATCTGCACCCATGGGTTCTTGTACTGGATCTGAGGGATGTTGAAAAACACAAATTTCCTGCGCAAAGAAGAAATGAAAGCTGTGAAGCAGTTCTGTACCTATGATCTTGCGCACATGTGTATTTTTCTGCAGAGAAAGTCCAGGGCTTGCCTCAAATCCTTGGAGGACCCTGCCCCAAAAAAGGCAATAGAAAAACAACTACAGGGATCCTCCTTGTCTTTGCTAGCAGCCCCTGAGGGGAAAGAAACCTGTGCCTAACAAACTCTGCCACACAAAGGTGAAACTGAAGCCAGGAGAATTTCCACCTCTTCATTTGTATGGCGTGTACAAGTCACCAAGCTGTTCCTTATAGACACACACTGTATCTACTTATGCCACAATTTTAAAATAAATTAAGCCAGGTGTGGCACTCAGGAGGCAGAAGCAATTCAAGGCCAGCCCGGCAAAGTCAACAAGACCCTGTCTCAAAATATAGACAAAAGAACTGGGTGCAAGACTCAAGTGACAACAGCGCTAGTCTAGAAACCAGGTAATCCTGGGTTCAAGTCCCAGAAACACATACCAACCATGAGAATTGCAGGGGAAATACTTTCTCAGTCCAGGTGTGAAGGAAAACCTTTAAGCTTAGAATGTTTAAAACAGGTAACTTGGGGATGGGGCTCAAGTGGTAGGTAGAGCAAGCACCAGGCCCTGAGTTCAACTCAGAGCTGCCGAGGGAAAAGAAAAAGAGGTAGCTTTGACTGCATTAAAATTTTTGCATGGCAAAATTTACTAAAAACAAAATTCAACACCTGCCAAGTCAAACCAGTAATGCCAGGATTCCAGAGATGGAGACGGAGCTCCCGAGTTCAAGTCTAGCCTGGGTTACATAGCAAAACTGTCTTAAAAAACAAATGAAAACTTTTGTAGACCTAGACCTAAAATGATGCCAATGTAATGATGGGACACGAATGTTAACGGGGAACTTGGTGGGGGGCGACGTGAATGTAAACAGAGGACTGGGGGGGAGGGGGAACACCAGAGGGGTGAGGAGAGGACACTGGGGGTGAAAATGACAGAAGCACACTACATGGGTACACATGCAGACAGCATAATGAAACTGGAAGAGGGGGAAAACAGAAACATAATGGAGGGGTGAACCTGTCCACAGTACACTGTAGGCATATTCAGAATTATCACAATGAAATCCCCTATTATTAATGTACACTAATTCAAAAATAAGACTGAAAAAACAAAAAAAGATTCAAGCTTTCAGCTCTAACAGTCCATGATTTTGCAATTCTGTCACTATTTTTACTGCTAGACTGATTATAAAAATAAGAAAACCTTAAAAAGTTGGCATGTTGTACAACCGCTTCCATTTTCTTTCTGCCTACTGTGAAGGCACGAAATTACTGTGAGCACAGTGAAATACTGTGAGTACAGTTGAGTTACTGTGAGCACAGCTTTCAGGAAGATTCAAGAAAAGCCAGTCAGTGATCACCATGCCTGGCAAAGACCATACTTCTGAGAAAAAGTCTCCACAGTTAAAATGAAATTCACAAGGAAAAAAAAAACTGATGAGGAAGTGGTGCTGTCAGACAAAAAGATTAGAAACAGTGAAGAGAAATAAAATTAATTCAAATCATTAGTCTTCAGAAGGTCAAAGAAACACATTAATGTAAAACAGAGAAATCCAACAAGAGGAAAACCGGGCCACCTCTTTCAAATACACAGAGCACTTTTGCACACTACTCTAAAACCAGCAGTGAGAGCGATTCAAGCAGATATATTCACCACGTCAAATCCACAGAAGATGGAAAGGGCACTGAGAAAGGCTAGGCCGAAGGCTTGGCTTTATCGCAGGAAGTAGCAGAGAAGATGGAGAGAACACGGAGCGGTTGAGCGAAAGATTCAGGGCCTAAAGAAGCAAACTGAAATCCTGACACAGGTGAAAGAGGAAGAGAAGAGAAAACAGGTGCTTCAGATAGTACTGGGGTACTCTTTCTTCAAGAACTTTCTTAAAGAAGTCTCAAAGCATCCACACTTGAGGAAGAAATTCTGACAAATTCTAAACCAGAATGCTCTTCTAAAGGAATAGGTGTTCAGTCCACCCTGGAGGAAGAGCATGTCAGCGTTCACTGAAGAAGCCTGTAAGAACTTACTTGATTGTTCCATATTAATTTAAGGTTTATAAATTTGCAAACTACTGAAGCTTCTGCAGGATTTACTGTCCCCAAATGCAGGCCCATCAGTAGCATCAAATGTGTCCTAAGTCCAGGAAAGCAGTATTTACACTGCCATACCTGCAGTTATTTGCCTACAACCATGAAATAAGAATAGCTGTGACTGTCAGTTTATAATGGTTGAATAGAGATCGTTTACTGGTTAGCCCAGAGAATGTGATGCGGTGTGAGCCCAGCTACTAAGGGGGAAGAAAGGGGTGGCTCACAGAAAGTTAATGAGACACCGTTTCACGCAATACGCCGGGCGTGATGCTGCACGTCTGCCATCCCAAATACCAGAAGGCATAAATAGGAGCACTGTGACCAGATGGGGGCAAAAAGCATGAGATCCTACCCAAAAAATAAGCAAAAAAAACAGAGCATAGCCAGGGCCTCCTGGCTAGCAAGCAGGAGGCCCTGAATTTAAACCCCAGGATCACACACACACACATATATTTATACACAGATATAAATTTCCTTGATCTCCTCGGCAAAACATGCTAGACTTTTCAGGCATGTTGAGTCAATGATTTCCTTCCCCTTTTAGACACTTTCACCCTGAATACAAAGACAAGTGAGGTTTACTGCAGCAGTATTTGTACAAGCAAAGGGGCAGAAACAACCTAAATACCTGTCAGGAAAGGGCTGAATAAACCATCACTGGCAGCAAGAGTCCCTAGGTTCCATCTCCAGAACCACAAAAAAATACAAAATACAACACTGGATTGCATGTGACACCTAACCAAATGCCCAGATCCCTCCTGGCTGCCCTTGCTGACCCCTCGCTATCCTGAACTGTTCTAAGGACCACCCTGCCATCTGGCTTCCTGGTGGGTTCAGCCGATAGAAAGCCCCAAGAACATACAGAGAGGGGGAATAAGGGCACCTATTTCTTCCCCTGGCTCAACCCTGGCTGTATCCAGCCCTGCAGGCTCTGCTGTTCCCTCACCTCACCTCTTCCAGCCTCGGCCTAGGATCTCCAGTTGTCCGTCATGCTTCTCCATCCCTGCCCACGCCTCTGTAAGCAGTCCCTTAACTAAAGGCACCTTCTGCTTCCTGTCTCAAGTCTCCAGCCGGCCCCACACATCACAAAAAAATGATGTCCAGGGGACAGCAGGTCAGCCTCAGAGCCACACTGCTAGTCATGGGTCCTGTCCTCATCACCCTCTAGTCACAAGATTCAGGCAAGTGGTTGCCCTGTACGTCATTATGCAAGAAGACAGCAGCACCCTGGGTCATCAGGCTCTGACACCACCAGTCCACATTGAAGCTTCTAAGACAGTTTCACAAAGTTGAAACTACTGGCTCACCATCAAAAAAAAAAAGAAACACCAGTATGGGCTAGAGGTATGGTTCAAGTGGTAGAGCACCAGCCTAGAAAGCTCAAAGCTCTGAGTTCAGATCCCAGCACCACAAAAAAAAAAAAAAAAGATTCAACAGAAAGCTGACAGTATGACTATCTGAGGACTCTTACAATTGGGACAGAATCTGCAATTGAAATAAAACTATTAACTATAGGAAAAACAAAGGTTTACAAAGAAGGAAAATTAAGAGTATTGTATTTGGCACTAACTCCAGTAATGAATATTGTTCAGTAATTCACAAATAACCCTATTCCACTAATGAGGTAGATTATCCCAAGAAAGAGCAATGGCAGTGAGAACAATGTCTTCCTCTTCTATGGTGGCAAGCAAACAGACAGTGCGCAACCTAAAAAAGGAAGGAGGAGCTCTTGGGGTATGTTAATTATGGAGGAAACTCAGAACTGAAAGCTGCTGCCTCTAGGGGAGGAAACAGGCCCTAAAGCCACCCTCCCCCCTCCAGCACACCAGTAGGGAGCTCAAAGGCTGAATTCAACCCCCCAGACGTAGCAGGCCTCTCTGTTCACCCCATCCTGCGGCAGAGTGAGTTCCCAGCATCACAGAGCCTGGAACAAATAAACCAGGATGTAGCCTGAAGCCACTTGGAGGAACTGGCACAGGAATCTCAGAATGTTCTTGCTGCACCTAGGGAGCAAAGTTAGGGGTGGATGGCCTTCAGGTCAGCACCTGCTGCATGGGCCAGACACTGTGCTAGGCACTTCATTCTTGAACCCTCCGAAGGTGGGTTTTACAACTAAGGAAACTAAGGTCAGAGGTTGAGTGAACCGCCCCACATCTCACAAGTGAGAGACCTCAGCTGTGACTGCACTGGGCTTCTACCACACCATTCTGTCACTCTCAAATCCACCCACCCCCTGAGGGCCACTGCTGCTTAACAGATGCCTCAGAGGGGAGTAGGACCTAAGCCCTCCGATTCTCAGGAAGACAGTTTCCCACCCAGCCAGCAGAGACCCACACTAGCCGGGGCTGCAGTGGCCACTGGCACGTGGAAGGGAGGAAGGTCCCAGCCAGGGCTGCAGATATGCTGAGGGTGCATGCATAAGCAAGGGATGCCTGGCTAGACAGAGCAGGTCAGGTGGGACATGGTGGGACATGCTAGCCCTTATCATTAAGAACAATGACACCCAGAATGGCTTTCTTGATCCTATTTACCTAGAGGTTATTAAAATACTTGAGAATGTGAAAATGAGACTTACAGGCCTACATGATTGACCATTTTAAAAAGAGGGTTATTTTGGCCTGGCCCAGTGGCTCATACCTATAATCCCAGCTACTCAAGAGGGAGAGATCAAAAGAATCATGATTTGAAGCCAACACTGGACAAAAAGTTATCAAGACCCACCCCCCCCATCTCAACAAATAAGCCAGGCACAGTGGTGTGTAGCTATAATCCTAGCTACAGGGAGGTAGGTGGATCATGGTATGAGGTCACCCTGGGGCAAAAAGCACAAGACTGAATCTGAAAAAATAACTACAGCAAAAAGGCCTGGGGGCATGGTTCAAAGTGGTGGCATGCCTGCCTACCAAGTGCAAGGCCCTAAACTCAAACCCCAATGCCCCCGAAGAGAGAGAGATGGATTTATATAAGCATTTGAACGCTTCATGTTCATAAATCAGGACTCCTGTATGGAACCCACAGCACTCACCACGGGCCCCAGCTACCTGCCTCCCTCTTTTCCATCACCTGCCTGGCTGTGCCCCAGGACCATCAGTGCGCACAGCTGTGCAGTGGGTTATGCAGGAGTAATGTGCAAGCCCAGCTGACCCAGGTTAGCAGGTCCAGGCTGTGGGGTTCATCTGCGCCCAGCAAATAGCTAGGAGGGAGCTTCTGCACTCCTGACCAGCTGTGCAGTCAAGACCCTTCTCCATGAACACTACCTCCACAAGGAAGCGCTCTCTTCATCCCGTCCTGCTCCATCCCACAAACCCAACTCTGCTGGGCTGTTTCTGGGGCCCTATTAAGTCCCAGCATGCAGCACTCTGTAGGTACTGGGCAAATGTACACCGAATACCAGCAGAGCCTAAGGCACTGCTTAGGGATGCTCCAGGAGCGGGAGAGGGCACGGCTGCTGCACAGAGCTGTAGCTTCATCACTGCACTGACCAGCCAAGAGCAAACACCTCCCTCACTCCCAGCTACACATCCTGCTCACCACTCACTCGCTAGCTGCGGTAGCTCTGACTAGCAGTTTACTTAGCCTCCTAGGCTGGAAATAACACTTAGGATTCTGCAGAGATCGGGTGAGGTAATGCATGAGAAGCATAACAGGGCTCGAACAACGGCAGCAGCTCTTCCTGCTCCCACCGCATCCCCCACATCGCCCCAGGACCGGGGTTAACATTCCTGTTTGGGACACCAAGAAAGTGCAACTCGCCCGAAGCCAGCGGATGGAAGAGCTGGTACCCAAGCTAAGTCTGCAGTCCCTTGGCAGGGCGTGTGCCCCAGACCCAAGGAAGATCTGCGGCTGCGCCCCACCGCTCGCCAGCTACAGGGGATTAAGGGGGCCGGTGGCCTCCCTCGGGAAGGAGACAGAGAGGGCTCTAGTCCTTCCGCACCCTCGAGGCACCTGCTGTCCTCGGTTTCCTGGTGCGTAAAATGGGAGTAACGGAGGAGGCAACTGGCACGCTAACACTGAACAGGCTACGACTCGCCAGAGTGGCCTAGCGGGCTCCCACTGACCTGGCGCCCTCGCCCAGCTCCCCGTGCGTGTTGTAATTCACCGTCATGACCTTCACCGCGTCCTTGAACACCACGTTCCCCTGGCTCAGGTATTTCAGGGTGCGGCGGATGGGGAAGCGGCCCTTCATGGGCATGGCGGCGGCGTGGGAAGGGCTGGCTGCACTGGAGCAGCCGCAGCCCCGGGCCGGACTCACGCCGCGTCTCCCCCGCGCCCGCGCGGAATCACGGGAGGCGCCTCCCGGCGGGCAGTGCACGCCGCGGGGCAGCCTGGGACTCGTAGTCCTGGCGGTTGGGCAGGCACACGTCACTTCAGAACAAGCTCCTCCGCAACTCTGTCACGCTCATTCCCCCGCCCACCCACGGGAAAACGCTTTTAAACACTCTAATTTCCTCACAATTAGAAATAAGTTAGGACACCTGAATAGCAAATCAGATGATGGCTTTGCTACTGGACCTCCAGAAAATCAATTTTTTTCTTCCAACATCTCCAGTTTCTAAATGAAGAGAGTTCGACCCACGCAATTTCTAATACTGGCTTTAAAAGACACCGATTTGTTGCCAAAGGAGAAAAGAATAGACTGAGATCTGCCCCTTCCTAGTTCAGCCACTGCAGCTGTGGTCTGGAGCTTTGCGGGGGTGCGGGATGCGGGGTGTCAGGTTCTTCCTTTGCTCTCCCTTGCCCGGCGCGGCCGTGTAGTCCACTCCACGCTTCTGGCTTGCATCGTGGACTGCACTCTTACCCTTGTTTCCTGTAGGTAAGATGCGGGTTTTCCTGGCTTGTTTCCACATGTTTTTCTTCGGGACTGGAGGATTGGTTCAAATGGTAGAACATCTGCCTTGCAAGCGAGAAGCCCCGAGTTCAAACTCTAATACTTCCCCAAAAAAGTGTTGGCTTATGCAATTTGAGTGAGATATGGAGCGGTGTAGATTTTTGGTGTCTGGTTTTCTCTGAGCTTCCTGGATCTTTGTTTTGTGTCTGTCATTCATTTTGGAACGTTCTTAGCCACTTCATTTTTTTTTTCTCCTTTTGGAATTCCAGTTGCACGTTTTACATATTTTGAAATGGCTTCATACTGGTTGGATGTCCTACTTTTATTTCAGTGAGGAAGTTTCTGCTGACTTACCCAACCTCTGATTCTTAGAAGTTTCCTTACCTCTGCTTACATGTTGCTTGCTTTTACCGTTAAGTCTTGGGAACATACTACTCCATTATTTTAAACTTCCTGTCTGATAATTCAAACATGGAGTGCCATTTGTTTTGTCTCCTTGGACTTTTTTTCCTTGCTTTTTATCACTTGTGCTTGTAATCACTTGCTGAAGGTAAAACAATATTGGCTGTGTTGGGTAATAGGATCTGAGATAAATAAGCCTCTTGTGTGATGATTTTATTAATCTGGCTAAGTGAACTGTCTGCTGTAGCTGTAGTTGTTAGCGACTTCAGATTCGTCTAGTGCCTTTTTGTCTCCCTTCATGACTTTCTGGCTTCCCTAGATATTCCTTCTCAGAGTCCATCTGTCAGCTCTTTCAGCTGTGATCCACTCAAGCCTATCCTAAGGCCACACTGGGGTGGCAAAGTGTGGAACAGGGGATACATTCTAAGATCCTAAGATCCTTGGTCTTTAGTGGTCTGTATCCTTGGGCTACGACCTTCACGAATATTGAATTCCTCCAGCTTACCCCTTAGATAAGAAAGGCAGGCTCCAGGGGGCAGGGAGGGGAAGAATGTACATCCCCCAGATGAGATAAAGCTCAGGTAGCAATCCTTTCCATTGTTACAGCTCTCCCTACAAAGATGACTTTCTCTTCCTCTCCTTCTGCTAGAGCTACCAAAGAATCTTTTTCAGTTCTTCACCAGAGAACCAAGTGAGGTATGGCCTGTGCCAGCAGAGGGTCCTCATTCCCCTGCCAGTCCACACCCAGCCAGGAGCAATTTATCAGTATTACTATTCTCGTGTTCCCCACCAGCTGTGGCTCTAAGCAATCATATCTTGGCTGTGACTTTGGATTCACTTCTCCAGACTTCAGGATGGCAGTGAGGCCTGATTATTTAAATAAGTTATTGATTTCCAGTTTATCCAGCTTTTTCTTGTAAGAACAGAGTAGCAACTTCCAAATTCTGCATGTCTGGACAAAAGCACTTTCTTAACTATTTCAAAAACAATGCTAGGCTGAAGAATTTTAGGTCTTAAAGTTTGCAGGAGGTGCTTGCAGAGGATGAAATCCTCCAGCCAATGTAGGAAACCCAGGTGTCCCCACATAAAGCAGGCGAGGGCATCTTGGGGTACACACCTAGGCTTCAATCCCAGTGGTGCAACCCAGAGTGAGTTGCAGTCATTTTTTCTTTTGTTAGCTGGGGTTGTTAAGATTAAATGAAGTGATACGCGTGCTAGCTCGTTAGATAGGCTAGTTAATCCCTGTAGGGTCTTCATAATAGTTTCATCAGGGGTTGTGTTATTTGGTATATACGTGCAACACGAAACTCCAATCATACAAACTCCTCCCTTTTTGGTCAACATCATGTCTCTGTCTCTCCTTTTTCTAGGTGTTGTGGCATGGCTGGGGATCCAAATGCTAGGGTGAAAGGGACTGCCCAGTTACCTGGGAGAGTCTCAAGTAAAGGTCCTCCGAAGTACCACCAGACATAGGCTCTGCCCACCGAGAGTGTGGACTGGTTTGTGAGGCTGTTGAAGGACCGGCTTTCACTGCATCCCGTCAGGTTTCCCACATTTGTCAATCATCCCCCTTTGTGGTGAGGCATGGGGTATAGTTGACGTCTAGAGCTGGTGGCCTAATAGTCCTCATGGGCTGACCCGTAGGACCTCTGACCTCTGGGAACAGTAGTGATAGCGTCCAGCAGGATTCATTGCCCCAAGCCTTGGCACCCTGAAACACAGCCAACGTGCAATACATTCCATCTGGATCTGAGGACCATCCTAATGAAAACGGGACCACCTGAGACTCTGGCTTCTCAATAGTACAAACATAGCAATTGCTCTTATTTAATGTGTAAACAGAATATTTTATCCATTTCATCCAAGCATTTGTATCCCTGTACCCAATTTCAATAGCCACAGTTTGTCCTAGATCCTTGATTTCTACTCCATTAACCTGAGTTCAACTGTTGTACAAACATGGAGGTAATGTTGGAGTGCAGGTAAAACTGGGTGTCACCTGGGAGGGGTTGGGAGCTCGATAGAGCTCAAAGGCACCTAGAGATCAATGGGAATATCATACTCCCTGGCGTCCACCTTCCTCAGGGAGAGTTGAAAGAACAAATCAGACTCTTAAAAACCAACTCACTAAATTAGTCTTAGAGACCAGATTACCTTGGACTAAATGTATTCCCATCACGCTACTCAGAATTAGGACAGCCCCTCGGAAGGACATTGGACTCTCCCCCTATGAAATGCTTTATGGGCTTCCTTATCTTAGCTCTGTTACTGATGTACCTTCCTTTGAAACCAAAGACTATTTCCTCAAAAATTACATACTTGGATTGTCCTCTACTTTACTTTGTCTTAGGAAAAAAGGATTGTTAGCACAGCTCCTCCACTTGACTTTCCTGTTCACCTACACCAGCCTGGCGATCACATGCTGGTGAAGACCTGGAAAGAAAATAAGCTTGAGCCAGCTTGGGAAGGACCCTTCCTGGATCTGCTGACCATGAAAACAGCTGTCAGGACCATGGAGCAGGGGTGGACTCATCACACATGGGTAAGGAAGGTGCCCCCATCTGACCAGAAGGAACAATGGGCTGTGCTCTCACATCCAGGCAATACTAAAGTGACTTTAAAAAGACTATAGTGAAAATATTCTTTCCCTTTCATTTGGGAATTGGTATGCTTCTTATTAATGTAACTCTAGAGTACCTTTCCCTTAATTGTTGAATTCGATGCATGTCAGGTCCTTCCTTGCGGAGATGTACATCCCAACTTCAACTCCAAGGATACTCCCTTTATGTGTTCCATCCCGGGACCTACAGGGAAGCTGGTATCTGTCCAGAGTGCATGGATGTGGGGTGGAACACTGGATATATATACGCTATATATAGGATATACTTCCCCCTTTTATGAAATCCGTCCCTTAAGGACGATGGTGGTGAAATGACTCCCATTGTCTGAATCGTATCTTCTATAACCCCAAGCCTTGGCATTATGTTTTCTAGTAATACCCTAATTACAGTTGTAGCAGTGGCCCCTGGGAGAGGGATGGCCTTGACCCTAATGAGTGAGATGGTCTACAATAACTAAGAGGTATTTAAGATGACCTATTTTGAGCATCTCAGTGTAATCAACCTGCATGCTTTGGAAAGGTCGCAACCTGGGGTTTCTACCCCGAGCTGGTCTCTGTCTCAGAGTTTGCTTGTTAATCTTTCAACAAGTAAGACATCCTTCTGATACTTGTTTGGCTAGTGTATAGAGCCCTAAACACCCTTAGGCTCACAAAACTGCATCACACATGGCTTGGGGTCCCCACTGGCTCCCCTGATGGAAATAGGTAAGGAGTTCTCTCATTAGGGACTTTGAGATCATTTCCCTCCCATTGGGGAGAACCCATTTTCCCTGTTCAGTCCTGACCGCCCCAAGTTTTTTAGTTGTTCTTTCTCAGAAAGGGTAAAGAAAGGGGTGACATGAGGAGCAGGGAGGTGCAGAATGAGACAAAAGACCAGGGCCTCAGAGGTGAGAGCAGCCTGTTTTGCTATCTCATTTGCAAAAGAATTTCCCTGAGTCTCAACGTTTACCCCCTTTTGGTGACCTGGCACATGGATTATGACTATTTCTTCAGGTAGTTTTAGGCTCTCTAATATTTGTTGAATTAATTCTCCATGTACCAAATCTTGGCCCTTGCCATTGATTAAGCCCCATTCCATCCAGATTTTTCCAAAGGTGTGGACCACACCAAATGCATATGTTGAATCAGTGTATATGGTCCCTTCTTTGTCCTTTAAGTGTTTTAAGGCCTGATTTAGGGCAAACAACTCACAAGTCTGGGCGGACCAATTGTTAGGGAGTTGGCCTGATTCTATTATAGTCATGGCCTCCCGTCTACTATAGAATATCCATTATGCCTTTTTCCCTTGATTACCCAAGAGGATCCATCCACAAAGAAACGGGGCCTGGTCTGGAAAGGAGTTTTCCCCAGATCTGGCCTCATTTTTGTTTGATATTCCATAATATCTAAACATTTATGTTTGGGGGCTCCT